CAATTTATTATTATACTTTATATTATATATTTATTATTTATATTAATGAAATATGATTAGCGAAAGAAAGAGTTGAATTATGCGTGTATATGATTGCGCGCGCAACGAAATACCATCGTTCTGCGCATGCGTTATTAGATTATGAATGAAAAAGGAAAATCAAGTACCTAAGATTTATTCAATTTTAATTATTTGAGATTAAAGATTTTGATGTTCCGATGAAATATCTTTTATATGCAAATCTCACTATTCCATCTGTCATTTTCGGAAAAGCGAAATTAATGTCTCGTATATATATATATACATATATACTTATGTGTATGCGTACGACTCAAGAAAGAGAGAGAGAGCCAGTTAGATTACGAAGCTACGAAAAATGCGCCGATTGTAGCGCGTAATGGCATGGAGCGGAACAGCTGATTCCTTAGGGTTAGCGCAGCGGACACTTAAATACACTCGTCGTCGTCGTCGTCGTCGTTGTTCCACCGTGTCCGGTCGCAAACGGGATCTCGTTCACGACGTTCACCACCATCCATAGAGAGTTTAATAAGTGCGAAGAATCCCCGGCTCTCGAGTCTACAGGACTTTGACAGATAACGATATACCGCGGATTAACACGCTCGGCGTAATTTCCCTTTCCGAAGGCCGAACCTTAGTTGTCTGATCCCCCGGGGATTATGGCCAGTCCGGTCGTCGGCACCGGATACAACTTTAAAGTGGTTCTCCTAGGCGAGGGATGTGTCGGCAAGACCTCGGTCGCCCTTCGATACGTCGAGGACAAGTTCAATGACAAGCATATCACTACGTTGCAGGTGAATCGCGTATTTCTATCTTGATCGCAAGATCAGATCTTTTCTTTCTGTTAGTTTTCTCGGTTCTACTGATATACATAATTTTTGCATTAATATACATATACAATGAATATTTTTTTCCACTATATAAGTTTATATGTGGGTTTTTTTGGTAATATCTCTTCCTTTTTAAATATAAAAGCAGAATGAACTTGTGAAATTTCTTTCTGCAGAATTCACAAGTCTTCTAAATGGATATTACATGATAACATATACATATATATAATGAATATTCTTTTAGAGTCTATTATATAAGTTTATATATGGGGTTTTTCTAATATCTCTCTTTTTAAAATATAAAATTAGAATGAATTTGTGAAATTTCTTTCTGCAACATTCATAAGTCTTCTAAATTCATATTATTACATAAATATGTAAAGAGAAGCCATATAGATATGTGTATACTAAAAATTAAAATCTAATTTGTGTGCAATAGGCTTTTAAGCTGATTAAAAAAAACTTCTGTATAATTTCTTAAAAGTCGACTTTTTATTTATTAATTGATTGTAAAGTTTGTATCGATTAAAAATGTGTTGACAATTTGTTGGTACTGTTTCAGGCATCATTTTTGAATAAGAAATTGAATATCAATGGAAAAAGAGTGAACCTGGCAATATGGGATACAGCGGGACAAGAGAAGTTTCATGCATTAGGACCAATTTATTACAGAATGTCCAATGGTGCCATCCTTGTTTATGATATTACGGACGAAGACACTTTTCAAAAAGTATGGACTTAAAATTCAATCAAAGTCATAGATTATGATTCAAATAATATAATAATCTAATAAGAAAACGATAACTATATTAATATATTATAGATCAAATTTAATCATGTTATCAGTGTTCTGCTCTTCAAATTTATCATATTATATAAAACATTATCTATTATCATGTACAGTTAAAAAATACTTTGTATTAAAAAACATATAAATACTTACCATTTATTTTATTGCTAGGTAAAAAACTGGGTGAAAGAACTCAAGAAGATGCTAGGTAGCGAAATTTGCTTAGTGATAGCAGGTAATAAAGTGGACCTGGAGAAGGATAGAAATGTTGCCATAGACGAAGCAGAAGAGTAAGTTGGACCGTGTTTCTTTCTTCGTTATGAATAATGAACGAATATCAAACAAATTTTCTTTTTCAGATATGCCAAACAGGTGGGAGCTATGCATTTTCACACTTCAGCCAAGTTAAATCAGAACATCGAAGAGATGTTCTTAGACCTGACACGACGTATGATGGAACGCGCGGACGAGGCCGAGCAAAAATCTACTCTTACAAGGACCAATAGCACACGTCGCAATGTTGTAATGGTCGAGGACGAAAGCGAGCAGACGCAACCGAGTAGAAGTTCTTGCTGTGGTGGCAGTGGCAGCGGGCAGCGGCCTTTCGTAGATCTTCGAAAGAAGATTTACATTCAACTTCAGACAAGGTCTAATTTCGAATAATCCACGAGTTATATATACGGGACGAAGCATTTCAACAAGTCGTGACAGATTAGTATCTCAACAAAAGTAAATTCTCTGTGATAATAATTTGTCACATTATACAAATGTTTCATTTTTTTGTATGCTTGTGTATGCATTATGTATGTGTGAATGCGTGTGTATGTCGATATATATATTTGCGAGAAATATCTGTATATATATTCATGAATTGCCACAATTGCTAATTGGCTAAACTTTAGCTAATTTCTCGACAAAAGCTTTATTGATGTGTGTGCGGCTGTATTGTGAATCGAGGACATTTTGAAGGAAGACTAGATAAAATATTTTTTTTCAGCTTTTATCCAAAATAATATTTTAGGGTTTAATGTACATATTAAATATCGATAATTTTATACATTATATTAATTTGGATCATTTGTCAAGTAACACTGCAATACATTTATTTTGAAATTATATAAATTAGCAATACAATAGAATTGTTGAGTGTAAAGTTTAAATTATTGTTACTGTAAGTTATTTTATGAACATAAAAATGGTAAGTTGTATTAACGTTATGGAAAAAATATCTCATTTAACATTATACCATGATCCCATCATGCTCCAAAAGTACACAGTTTGGATTTTAGTGAATATTGCATATAAAAAGTGAAACTGTACATCTACAAATTAACATGCTTTATTACATGCTCTTTTATTGATAACAACGAGGAATGTAATCGAGTCACATCAGTTCTATACAGGTCTGGGTTAGTCTTCGATGATAGAGAGCAGAGAATTTAGGCTCCATCAGCCCATACTTTTATCCCAGTTACCCATAATGGCAGGACTATTTAAAGGGATATACAAATTTGCGGTGCGCTCCGCGAAAATTACTAAATCTCTTATCTCTTTACATCTAAACAATGGACAAAATTGAGACAAAAATTAGTTTTAAAAACATTAAACTATACACACAACATTTATTACACGCCACACAAGCTTTCTCTTTTTCACTCTCTTTCTCTCATTTTTTTTGTAGTTTTTGTTTTTGTAAAAATGTTCGAGCGACTATCAAGTCAGGCGAATTATTTTTTTCCTCAAGATTATAATTCGAAAAAAATTATCATAAGATCACTAGAATTTATACACAATGACTGAGTTACCACAACAGCCATGCTAATCACTTTTTATCGTGTTCACACTTGCTTTTTAATATTATGTTAACTTTAAACAGTATAAATTATTTTACTTATTGTTATAATTGCTATAAAAAATGTCATGAAAGAATGAGAATGGTTTAAAGTAGAAAATACAATCTTTATAATACTATCTAATACTACTAGAATGTTTTGTTACTTATATAAAGTAAATGTTCATTTACATTGTTTAAAGTTAACACAATGTCTTTCTATATTACATATATAAATCTTCCTGTATTACACAGATATATCTCTTTTAAGAGAGTTAAATATAATATTATATATACTACATTTGTTAGACCACAATTTATTTTATGTGACTGAATAATCAATTTTTCCAATATATACAAATGCGAAAAATGCCAAATATTAAAAAGATTCATTACTTATATGTAGTATTCATTTCTTCTATTTTAAACAAAGAATATACCAAAACTTTTTTTCATGAAACTTTTCATTGAAGATGAATAACAGAAGCTGGTTGCAGATATGTACATATTTATCAGAATAAGAAATTAAATCGATTTATAATTTAGATTTTTTAAATAAAATAAGAGAAACATTAAAATAAAAGAAACTTGATAAAGCTTGAAAGATTATTTAGATTAAAGAAATAATAATAATAAGTTATCTTAATATAACATTAGCTTATTATCTAAAAATTTTATTTATATAATTATATAATGTATATAATTATATAATTTAAAAGATTAATTAAAGCAAAAGTCGAGACAAAAAAATCGCGATAAAATCATGATCTCGTGATTATCTCAGTGGCATCCAGCTGAATATTTTTGTTTCATCCTTGAATATATTATTTTCTATGCTTTTTTAAATTAGACTAAACGCTATATGTTTTTAGATAATCTTACATATTATATTCATTGCGTGACGTTCTCATGTATCTTTGGTATTTGGTCGTAATTTCTCTCTAGATATACACACGTAAATTGCATCCATTCGAACGTTCAATCCTCTCGTCCGAAAACATTATTGTACCTACTTGTATTAAAAAATCTTGTGCAAAATTGCGTGTAAACGAACATTAAGTGTTTTTTCCTGTATTCTCTTATCTCACGTCGGATATAAAAATATTTCAATAAAACGAAAGTGCGGACGTTATACGCGTGATAATGTGAACAACCGAATGCGTGACAATTAGGCCCTCGGCGTTTTTAGATAATGAAAATCTTATCTTGATAAGTAAATAAAAAGTCTACGAATTGATTTATGAATCCTATCGCGGTGAGGGACATTCCACATGACGGTGGTGCTCTAACTAGATTCGGTCCAAATACAACCGCCAGATTACTAGAAGTCATCTTGTTCAAGTCACATCGATCCATGACCTACATTATAAAAGTAAAAAGATATAAGTAAGAATTTTTATCTTTTTTTTTTCAGGAAATCGCGATTGTATATTAGCTACGTACCCTCGATAAGAATTGTACAACGTATTTAAGAACTTGATAGTTGTCTTCAGGTAGTTTTTCCAATATTAATATTTTAACTTTACGTGGACGTTCGTCTTTTGATAACGCTACAACACAAATTCAAAGGATGCTTTATCTCGTTAAAAAAATAATAATTTGAAAAAAAAGATAAGGAAAACATGATGCTTACTTTGAAATTGCGTGATTTCATCATACAGTTCATAAGTCATAAGAGGTTCGTCCAACTCACGAAGAAAAGTCTTGAGTAGAACCGCGGCAATGTGCGGATCTCCTTGGAAATCGACGGGTAAACCTTGATTGCAACGATTCTGAAGTTCCTTGATCACCGCCACATTGGCCGATCTTCTGAATATACCTTCCGTTTCCAGTGCTAAAACGACGATGAAACGATTATTGTTTCAATCTCCAAAGAAAAGAATAGTTTTCTATTAAATCTATTTATATTATAATAATTTTTTATCATATCTAGATAGCGTACCATCTGGTGTATCGAGAAATTCCACGCACTGCCTCAGGATAGGTGGTATCGGATCACCGTTATTATTTTCCTTTATAAACTGCAAACTAGCACCGAATTGAGTTGTGCCAACTGGTGTAGCTACCGCACTTTGTGGCGGACTTGCTGGCAAATATTTCTTATTCTTTATTAACAGTTGATTATTGTGTCTGAAAAAATCATGTAAATTGAATTATGCAAGTTGCGAATCAACATAAATTTTATCAAGATTTCAACACATGGTTTTAGCATAATTAAATTACATACTCTATCACTTGAGGAGGTATAATTAGTTGATCCAACTTAATATAGTGTGCTAAATCCTCCAGATAATTAACATACATCATTTTTCGTCCAAATTTGACACTGCAAAAATATAATTCGTCTATTCATATACAGTATATAATAATTCAAAGAAGTATTTAACATAGAAAAGAAAAAATTGCATACCTAATAGCCGGTTTAAATATTTGCCACACAAACCTAATAAAGTTTGTGGGATGTACTAGATAAAGGGCTTTGAGATTTTTTTATATTTTCTGTCAAACGCTTTATACGCTTGCCAAAGCCAGGATAAAGGTGGCTTATTTTTTGATGTAAGGCCATAATGAAAATAAACGAGACTATAATCTTGCTCCACAAATGTATCTAAAGTATGTGTAAGATACCTGCAAAAATAAAATGTCTATTGTTATAAAATCTATTTTATTAATAATAAAAGAGAAGAAAAGACATGATAATCGAAACAGTGAACAAGTATGTTGCAACAATTTATAAAAACAATACTGCAGAATGACACAAAAATCTTTAAAAACACTTACAGACAATTATAAATCATTATTCGCGTGTCGAATAAATGTCTCGCGTGTTATTTTATAATGTATGCATATCGCAGACTCACCTAAGAAGTTTAGCATGATTGAAGACCTCTTTCCCTATAGGAGGTAATTTGCAGGCTGACACAACAATTATTTTGCGACCGGCACTGTCATCTCCAACTACTTCCACAATACCGTGTTTGGATATGTCGAAATAATCCTCTTCGTCGGCGAGCTCTCTGTCCAAAGCAGCAAGATCTTCCGCTGTTCATAAATAGAGAGATTATTTGTAATAGAAAGTTTTAGAATCGATGCACATTTCAGGCATATTCGTAATAAATTTGTTGTCAACTAAAAACACCATTGAACAAAAATAATTCGAGCCCTCTAGGAATAATTTTGTCTCATCAAAGAAATGTATGTCCCATAGACAATATTCCATTATCCTGCTTCATAGGGCTCGAATGTAACGCTTGTACATTATGTTATTATATGCAAAATGGATTAAAAAGCGTAACAATTGTTACTTTTCCTTTGTCATCCTTACACCATGCAATATAAAACAAGCTGTACAATGTTCTACACATAATTCACCTGCTATGCCCTGAGAATGCCATGACATTTAGTGGCTATTAACAGAAGGTAAAAGGTCACACACCAGATTCGATAACTGGAGCATCTACCAAAGCTTCCTCAAAGTTTTCCTCAATCGTCCCATCGCTTACTGGGCTTTCCAAATAATCCATCCCTCCAGTACCAACGGTGCTGTTCACCAAATCCAATTGTCTTCTAGAAGGCGTGTAGCTGTAACAACAAAGTTTACTTTGTGTAAAAGAAATGCAATAGTGGCTGTATCATATAAATTAATCCCTCGTATAATTATAAGAAAATTTTGAAACCAATAGTAGCAGATATACAAATTATAAAAAAATAAAACTCATATATCTTAAGACAAATTAGATGTCTTACCATTGTTTGAAGTAGTTTGCAATTCCGTATCATCAAATTCCAGATTGGGCTCATAATCGTGATAATCTGACAGACTAGGGTAAGGATCTTCACAGTCATTACCTATCCCTGTTACATACAGATGCACACAAAGGTAAATAAAGAAGAAATAATAAGAAAAAATGAACAAATCGACGATATTTTATACAATTTCTGCAATGTCTTGGAAAATGACCGATCGATCTCGTACTACATTTACCAAGGAAACTCGGCCACTTGCACTAGTAGCAAATAATTTACAGCTTTTCGCCTGCTAAATATCACGATTCGATTCTTAATTCTAAAAGGGAACGTTACAACGCATTGATCGTAAAATAAGCGAAAATAATACATACGATTCTAGCCAAATAATAATAATCTGCGTCGCGGAGAGATGACGTTCGTTTGACACAAATAACGTCAACAATCGCGACCACCAAACGCTTTACCTGTCAGCGTCCGTGACGGGCTTAGTGGCGTCGGCTGATAATCCGCTTCCATTTCTCGATCCGGTGTTGATACGTGCGAAATGATGCGGTCCGGTATCGGCGCGTCCCTTTTCCTTTCCTCTACAAGCAATTCGAAATTTTCCCGAGCGACGACATTATCTCTTCCTCGCGACGTGTGGCAGAACGACGCGCGCTACGGATCACGTCACGCTTTCATTGTCGCTGTTGCTGCGCTGCGGTGTGCGATATTGCAGATATCGATACTCTGTTTTGAATCTAGAGTACGTATCGATATATTGATGTATCGATTAGTCGCGGGAATCTTATCGATAGTCGAATTACTGTACACAACGTACATAAATATTTATTCTGTTTCGACAGAAGATCGTCGAACATTTCTTCTTACATTTTTATATAAAAGAGAAGGTTGTATTTAATAATATGTAAATATAAAAGAGTCAAATTTAAAAAATATGTGATTTAATATCACAAGAAATTTTTAAGAAAATATTTTGACAGATTAAAATTTGACAGGTCAAAATTGACAGGTCAAAATTTGACAGATCAAAATTTGAAACGGTCAAAAACCTACTACGTAAAATTTATATAAATGTTTCCTATAGATTTTTTCTTATACGCGTAAAGACGATCTCAATTTTAATCGATCCACATACGAAAATATAACACGATCGATAAGCGATGCAAGCGCGTCATCATCCTCCGCGAACATGCATTCAACTGCACTTATTTTAGTCCAGAGTATCGCCCGAAGATGAGCGAATCGGCTCGCAAACGTCAGCATCGCGCTTTACGCTGTTTGTTACTGCTTTGTGAGATATCTCTGTGATCGGTTATCCTATGTAGCGTAAATATACATATATATATATATATATATATATATATCGTATGATTGCTTCCCCGCGAGAGCAGCCAGAGACGATTTTGTCCTTGCAGGAACGAGAGCGATGACGTTTAGCGAAGCAGAAGTCCCCCGCGTTCAGTGAAGACGAAGGAGAGGAAGATTATATATTTTGATTTATTGTCGCGATTAAACTGACAGGTGAATGAATTGTCCGATCTTGCGACAGACGTGAGACGCATCATGGCGTGCACCAGCGAAAACATTACTTGCGGTGGCTTTGTATTCTTTAACAATTTTGACTCGGCCAACCTGGCTAAAGTGGAACAAGTGAGAGTACCAGAAAACTCGGATAAAGGTAACGAAATTTATTCAATTTCACGTTTTAGCGATCCAAATTGATTTTAGATGCATATGTGTCAGTGTAAACGCATTGACATGAATAAAAACAAATATATTGTTAAAGCTGGAGAACGTTTTTTTTGTTTTTATATAAGATTAATTGAATAAGAAGATTGATTTCTCTTACTGTGATATGAATTCAATTGCATTAGAATTAAATGTATGACACTGCAGATGTACTTCTTATGTAATGACATAATAACTACTATTTTTAGATGTTTACGAAATTGAAACCAAATTGACCAATAACTCGAATTCCAAGGAGATGCCGGATTATGAATTTAACTTGTGGACGAAGCACGATTGTCATGGCACACAATTTCAAAATAGCAATAGAACTTGGTTTTATTTCGGAGTCAGATCCAATTGTCCTAGTGTCTCGGTTAGGTTCAACATAGTTAATTTAAATAAACAGGTCAAGATGTTTAGTCAAGGAATGTGTCCGGTCTTTAAAATTGTACCAGGACATTTACACTGGGAGCGGATTCGTGAAAAACCTACCTACACTGTATGTAATAGTAATATATATATATATATGAATATATGTATATATATACACATACAATTATAGAAATGCACATACCTGAAAATATAGAAAGATTATAAATGGATATAATTATTTAGTACATAGTTATATATAATATATTTATAACATTGCAGCTTGATCAGAGAGGAAGTGACTTTACTTTATCATTCCTCTACTATACTCCAGAAAATTCAAAAGCAATTACTTACTTTGCTTTTACCTACCCATTCTCGTATACAGATTTACAAAATTATTTGAGAAGGATTGATGCAAGAATGAGTAAAAGGAGTGTAATGTGCACAGATGATATCTATTATCATAGAGAATGTGCAATAAAATCTTTGGAAGATCGTAGATTAGATGTATTAACAATAAGTTCTTATCATAACATATCGATGGAGAGAGAAGATAGACTGATTAATATGTTTCCTGAGAGAAGTGAGGAAAGGCCTTACAAATTTCGGGATAAAAAGGTATACATTATTGGCATTATATTTATTAAATGTAAAATGTATTCTTATATTTTCAAAAAGAGATATATTTATGTATGCACATTTAGGTAATTTTTATTAGCGCCAGAGTCCACCCAGGTGAAACACCATCTAGCTTTGTTCTGAACGGTTTTCTCAATTTTTTATTGAATCGCGAGGATCAGATTGCCATACATTTACGTCGCCTATATGTGTTCAAATTAATACCAATGCTCAATCCAGATGGTGTTGCTAAAGGTCATTATCGCATGGACACTAAGGGAGTAAATCTGAATAGGGTTTATCTAAATCCTTCCGAAGTAGATCACCCGACGATATATGCTGCGAGAAATTTAATAAGGTAAATACTTGTATCTTTCTGATTAAATTATTTTGACGTTTTATGATATACAAAATATGCAGTCAAATTTTTACATATTTTTTTTTTTTTAGATATTATCACAATTTTTATCAAGTACCAAGTGAATTAATTGACGATTTGTCAGATATAAATTTAGAAATTGTAGACAGCAATTTAAGTGTTATAAATTCGACTACTTCAATAGCAAACGCTGTACGCGACACAACTACAAGATTGTTGCAACAAGTATGATCAAAACTCTTATTAAATGCCTTTTAAAGTAATATTTCTTTATATTGCAAATGAGATTGTGTGGAAAATTTTAAAAAGTGAATGCAATACATTTTATATTACATCTCTGCAGCATTATACTTTTAGGATTATTATTGTTCAATAGGTAACATTTATGTCCCTGGATGAGAATAGATGTGCTCTGGAAGCTAATGAGAAACGTTTATTAACATTGGAAAATTTGGATAATGCAGTTATTGGTAATGATATTTACTTTGTATGACGAATCTCAATGTATCTAGTTATTTCTAATTAGTTTGTCGTGTACACAGATGAAAGAGATGGATTATCTAAAGAAAATGGCAAAAATGAAGTCGCAGAGGACAGAACGAGTGACAAAGTAACTTATACAGCTGTTGGTACAGGCGAGGTATCGAAGTCGGATAATTCTGGACTGTACTTATACATCGATCTGCATGGTCATGCTTCAAAGAAGGGCGTATTTATGTATGGAAATCACTTTACTGATCCAGAGGATACTATTGCATGTATGCTATTACCTAAATTGATGTCCATCAACAATCCACACTTTCATTTCACATCGTGCAATTTTGCAGAGAGAAATATGTACATTATGTGAGTGTGCCTTATTGCCATTAGAATTGATATTATGTCCCTCTATCCCTTTTATATTAGCGAAATATTAAATATACATGGTTTGCGTAGAGACAAACGAGACGGTATGTCGAGAGAAGGTTCGGGACGTGTAGCAGTGTACAAGATGACTGACCTAATACGTAGTTACACTCTGGAATGCAATTATAATTCTGGTCGTTTGGTGAATACAATACCGACTAGAATTCGCGATGGCGTGAACAAAACTATGAATCACATATTTGTTCCCCCGAAATATACTCCAGCAGTATTCGAAGCGGTAATTCTACCTTATTTTTATCTTATTCAATCATATTCACATAATAAAAAGCAGGATTGAGTAATTATTTTTTTTAATTAAATTAAATTAGAGTTAATGGCTTATAAAATTAATTTAGTTAAAATTAATCACGTTAAAAGTTGCATAAATAAAAAATTAATTCATGTCAGTTAAAAGTTGAGTTAAAATTAAATTAAATTAAATCAAAAGTTAATTTTTAAAAACATTAATATTTATATTAATTTTATTTAATTTAAGAAAAAAATTAATAAGTTTAAATTTAAAAATAATTAGTTTAAATTAAAATTAATTTATTTTATTAATTATTTTAAATTAAACTAAGCTAAAAGTTATTAACTTCTTCACTTTTTATTTAATTTGCAACTAATTAACTAGTTACTACCTTACCTTGATAATAAACATAATAATTCACATAATAATATCCTAAAATGTTAATGTACACAGGTTGGAGCAGCGTTAGGTCCATCTATTCTTGATCTCACTGGAAACAATCCCAACAGCCGATTACCAAACAGTCAATATCGTTCTCTAAGAGGAGTAAAATCTCATTTGAAATTAACATATGTGAACAATCTGTCCTCACCGCCCAACAGATCGATGCGTAAGGTAAATTTTGATGTAAATAGCGGGAGTGATGTTTGCGGTGCTGACATAAGGCAGTGTATAGTATCATAATCACTTATTCTGTTCAGCGACTAACTTGGTATGCTGTTTAGCATTATGCTACAACACATTAGTGCCTGATTGAATGTAAATTTATTTGTGTATAACTAAGAAAGTGGGAGAGAGATTTTGTGATTTTTGAGATCTTGATAAATCGCGAATTTTTATGCAAATATTTTGAATTATATTTAAATATGTACTAAAATTTATACAAAAACGATTTAGTATTTTATATATTATATCATTGAGCTATTATTTTTGGATAATAATATATTACATGCATATATATATATATATTTATTATGTTATTTGTATGAGAAAAATACATATTGTAAAGTTTCTTATTTTTATATTATTCTTCTCAATCAGAGTCTTCCACAACTTCGATTTATATAGAAAAGACAATAATGTCTCATACTTTTTTAGATTTTACGCATTAAAAGTTTGTATTTCTATTAATTTTAAACAAAATGTAAAACTAAATATTTACATATATGTATATAATATTCGAATTATGCGAATGAAATGTTTTTATACTTTTACTATATTAATTAATGCTGATTTGGTTGATATTTATAGCTAGTATATATATTGCACAAATTAGTTTTTTTTTAATTAAAATTTCAAAATTAAGTTAATAGTCTAGAGAAATGCAGGTGAGACGAATAAGTAATACTTTGCACTGGTGATTTATTTTACATTGTGACTAATTCAGCTCAGAAATCATACACGCTTTAATGCTTCAGTGACCACCATTTGACATTAATATTTATTGTAAATAATCAATTTTTATGCACTATACATTTTTTCATGCCGATAATATACACAAGTGCACTTATAGTCACGTCATTTAATTCATGCAGTGTTAAAACGAAGCAAGATGAATCTATGTGAGTTGTTATGAATAAAACGTGTTAATACTACACACATGCATACATGTATGTAATTAATTATATCTATTTCTTTAGCGAAGGGCACAACGTGGAGATATAAATGGTTGAACCATTATATCTCTGGATGACGGAATTGTTGGGATATGGCTGCTTGTTAATCAAAATTTAACTATATTAATTATTTTAACAACATATAGAAAAAAATATATATATATATACACATATAATAATATAAACATATATAAATTTATTATTTATATTGAGATTATTATAAAATAAATGAAAGAATACTTAATACATATTTTATCGATTAAATAAATATTCACAAAGTCAGGTACATTAAATCTTGATCTGGACAATAAGCTTGAACATTATTTGCTTGGAAATCATTCCGTAACTCAAGATTCCGATTCGTATTATGTGTATGCATCCATGTATAACTTCATAATGTTGTATTAGATACGCGGGCTTACATATCCAATTGTGTTAATAAATGTTACAGTTTTAGCGATCATTTATTTATCTTATTTTCATTTGATTCCTGCAAATCCTGACCAAAGAATATCCTGATGAGTGTGAGATAACTTTTGGCATGAATTGTGCATTATATTCGCAAGCAAAAATCTTGACAAATAATATCAAATATAATATATTATATACATAAAAAATTAATATTGCATTTAAAACTGCTGCTTCCAAGTTTCAAATGCCAAAATGAAATATGTGAATAATAATGATGCACACATTTGAAAAAAAAATAGCACTGTTTAGCATGCACAACGAATGTTTTTTGCTGAACAACAATTTCATAGAAATATATAATTTAAGAGTCTGTTCTGTAATAAAATACATATTTTTTATTACGAATTTTTTGTTGCAATCTGTTTTACTACTTCTGCTTATTATAATAATTTTCTCTAAAATTTTTACATATCGTACATACATGTAGATGTGCGCTTCGTCTTTTTTCAAAGTGTATGATATGTGCCATATTCCGTTCGCTCTTGTTATGCATGGTAAGTCATTATTTGCATAATTAAACAATTGATAATGCAAAATCAATCTCTCTCTCACATACATTTACTTTTTATGTTATTATCATACGTGAATCATATTTATACGTGATGATATTTATGTGATTTACATATGAAGCGTATCACCTCTCTCAGACATAATTTATATACATATGCATAATTTATTTACAGGATAATGAGACTGTCGTCGCGCAGGATACCTGCATCCTGAAAGAATTGGAGACAAAATTAAACGACGCGGTGACTGGAGCGAAAAATGCCATTAAAAATGAAAGTAACTTGGTGAAGAAATGTATTCTACGCCGTGGTGCCTCTCTTTATGCAGCGGTGAAAAGAATTAAGAACAATAAGAAGCCTCGGCAAACGCTTGCTCGACGTGCTTTAAAGACTCATTGCTCCAATAATGTGGAAAACAGTGCGATAATCTGTGCTGTGAAATCCGAAGTGGAAGCGAAGAGCTTCCTGAAGACGGTCGATCACTATCGATCGGGTAAATCTAATGTAAGCTCGGTGATGGGTGACAATCTCGAGCCTCATTTAAGTAAGAGATCGACGAATAATTCGACGAGGATATCTTCCGAAGAAACAGCAGCAATAAGACACGGTGCGAAAAGATTGAAGATTTCGTCCACCAGGACACTCAAGGCTCTCCCTGAGATCAGAGAATCATCCAACGTCGTGGAGGAAACCAGCACGAAGATGTCCTCGAAGATGATACGTGCTCACGAAAAACAGAATGCTAAAGGAACCCATGATAGGACCAAACTTGGTGGACACATTAAACCGGATAAGTCCTTTAGACTGAAAGAAACAAATAAGACTGCTGTTAAGGAGAGCTCTGTATTTGAAGAAAAGCATGAAGCAAAATCCTAAATAATTAGCTTCAATATAAAAATTATAAAAAAGTTATTTATTAATTTATTTTGTCGTTATTTTTTCTGAGAATCTTTTCAGAAACATATATTTCGCATATTGTAATATACATAGGACGTGTTATTGTGATGTAATATTAACAAAAATATTTCCTTATAAAAGAAATCTAATAAAAGGTATATATATAAGTAAATTTTTTATACATCCCTAATATGCAAAATGTACATTACAGTTAAATTTCTGCTTTATATTATATACTTAAAAAATAATACAAATATGATATAAATATTGTATAGTATTTCTAATGTTTCTTTTTCACAAAATGATATATTTATTTGTCTTTTTAATTAAAAGGCAATAAAACTGTGAAATTGCTTATATAAATGTATATACCATGTTACATATATTAGATACATAAAATATTATTCAATTTAATCATATATAACGATATTTATTATTTATATACTGAGTGTTTCTATTTTCTAATTTTTCATACGATTATCTTCAAAACTAGTATACTTATCCCAAAAATTGTCATAAATTAAAATTCATAATTTGAAGAAGCATAGCTATATATACTATCTTTTTCATATTTAAAAATTGATTTTTTTTATGTAAACGTTTATTTATTTGAACTTTTATATATCTTATATAAATTTCTCGAAGATAATTGTATATATATGTAGAAGAATAACACTTTGTATAATAAAGCTCTATTATATCAATATTCTATTTGAATATAAAAAATGTGCTTTTCTATATGTCTCCTTATACATATTGGATGTGACACAAAGTGACAAATAATCTATTATATAATTTAAATGATATCTCACACTTGGTACGAGAATAGAGATATTAAAAAATAATAAAAATATTAATTATATATATATATATATATATATATATATATAATTGATATTTTTATTATTTTTTAATATCTCTATTCTCGTACCAAGTGTGAGATATCATTCAAATTATATATATATATATATATATATATATATATATATATATATATATATATATTCAATTTTTATTGCAAATTATATCTGCAAATAAATATAGAATTATGTGATACGTCAGTATATGTTCTGAACATATTTATAGCAGTATAAAACAGTTTAAAAGTTTCCTATATAAATTTGTATTATATAATATATCACATTTCAAATTTGAAAGAGTATCCCGCCTCGAATAGGCGGGAAACGGGTGTGTGCGTCTACGTCACGCTGTGACGTCACATCTAGCTGTCGAGATCGATGCGAACAGGTGGACGCACACGTTGGGTGCGTCGAGTCGCGAAACCGGAGATTGGGACGCAGAAGGATCCGCGGGAGGCTGTGATCTTTTGAAATGGCCACCGCAGCTTATTGCATCAGCACGTTTTTGCTGATACTCGCGTTGCTGACGAAGACAGGTGAGGTCGACGCACGATTGCATCGTTTACAAGCCCATTGTCATCGCCCTCCTGGGCGGGGCATAATTAACCTTTCTCACTTTTCATTCTCTTTATGTGTATCAGCGGGAAACTGTGAACGAGCTCTTCTTCAGGAGAAAGAATTTTTATTTTGACAGAAACATATATCGAGAAATAAAATATCATGATGTTTATCAGTTTTGTCAGAAAAACAATTAGAGAGAAAGAGGGGAGAGAGAAAGAAATATACATTTACAATCATGGAATTCTTATAATTAATATTTGTGTCGTTCTCCATTCATTTCACATAATAAAATCATGCTGGATCCATTTCTTGATAAATATTTCATCACATTTTGATAAATAATATTTTTATCCAGGATACAGCATCCGATGCTACCAATGTAAAAGCATCAGCAGTGAGAATCCTTTTCAGTGCAATGAATTTCTAACAAGCGACATGGACATGGAGCCGAAATCCTGTGATGACGTTTACGGAGCACAATATTGCATTAAGCATGTAGGCCGTTTCGAGGGTAAACAGTGCAGCGAAGACATTTCACACAATCTTCTTGCCTTGGGAATCTAACAGTGGCAGTGCAGGGAAAATTGATGAATGAAATCATGCAGATCAAGAGCATGTCAGCGATTAAACTGAATTGAATTCCTTTCAGATTTTTTCGCTGTTCCAGAATAACAATGCTTATGCTTATACATGTGCAAGATTCTGGAATGCATCCACAAATGAAGTAAATCGCCTATGAGCGATTTTTTAAACACATGTACTTATCATTTATTTTGTAATGATAAGACCCTTTCATAAATTGCGTTCTAATAATCCAGCACATGTAAAAAATGCTTTTATACTAACCATTTTTCATTATCAATCATCATAACACAGGTCATCCTTTGTGTAGGGGCATACAACTAAGAGGAAGAACTATCTTGCAACTAATATTTTTTATATGTAATATATATTTTCTATAATTCTATAAAATAGTGTTGTATAGCATCAACATAATAACATAGTCATGTAATCGAAATTTAATCATTGCTTTCTCAATTAATCAAGCAATTGCCTTGGATTGCTACCAATGCGCATCAGAGAATGAATGGAAATGCATGGACAGTGGATTGGTTGAAAGTGCCTTGGTGCCAGCAAATTGTAGTCATGTTTATGACGCACGTTTTTGCGTCAAATCAATCGGCCGTTTCGGAGGTTCTTATATCATGTTTAAGCATTCTTTGTCGTCAAGTGTGTGCACGAGTGATCCATAAGCATATTCGATTATTTTTTTGAAGCAAACATTTTTGCGAATTTTAATTATCTTACAATATTTAATTTTAGTTCAAGAAATTCCACAATTAAAATGTACTAACGAAGAAGTTTACGGAATTTACAATCTTTAAAAAAATATATTCTCTCAAGTATTTTTTTTGCATAAAGTTTTTCCTCTGAAAAACAATCAATATGTGATAATTATTTTACTATGCATTTTGTTTTTGAATATTTTTCACGAATTGTTGAAAGAATTCGATAATTAATAATTTTGTTTAAAAAATACATGAATTATTGTACAAAATATGTGTAAGGGATATATAATCTTTCGATTTTTTGCATGGCTATCACTTGCTTTGTAAATACAAATTCACTTATCCATTCAAACTTCACTTTTTTCATCACATTAATTATAACATGTGTATCTCTTTCTTTATAATAAAAATTACTTAATATACTCATATCAATTAGACAATAAGAGCAGTAGAATTTTTATTAATTAACACAAATATTCAAAAACTAGTAAAGCTTATTCTCTTATTCAGATAGTAAAGTAGTTGGTTCCCTTGCTTTAAAGCATGATAATTTGTATATCTGAAGAAATTTGTCAAATCTCTATTAGAAAAAAAATAATTGCACAATGTTAACACTTAAATTAATACACGTTATATTAATATTAAATTGTATAAAATAGGTGGCATCGGTACAAAGCGATTTTGTTCGGCTGTCGACTTGGGAAATTACTGCGATTACGTAAAACAACCGGGTGACAAATTGACCTATCGCACCTGCGTTTACACGTGTACCGGTGACGGATGCAATCCAGCAGCATCTTCTACGCCGAATGCAGTATATACGTGGATCATACCTCTGTCTTTATTGGTAGCTTGGAGAATGCTCTTTCACAGGTAGAAAATTCTTCAACATTTTGAGATCTCGATAACTATTCAAAAGTCTGACGAATTTGTTGTTCACTGTAATGATGAATCTCTCGTTTAAGATGCGAATATTCAAATGTTATTTCCGTAACATGTTTATATATGAAATTATTTTAAAACTAAAAAAAATTAAATTTTAATTTCAATTTTTATAGTACAAGTATTCTGACAAATAATTTTCTCAAGTTCGATAATGTCAGATAAAATGTTTTATAAGTTTTTATTTACACTTTTTAATGTATTTTTTATTACTTGATTAGAATTTAATATCTCAATTTTTAAGCCAATAGTTATACATTTGTATATTTTATATATTTAATATTTTATATATTATTAATATAATATTAATAATATATATTTAATAGATATTAAGCTAATGATATTAGTAAAGCAATACATATAATGAACTATATCCGTCCATTTAATTAATTTTTATAAATAAAAGATGCTAAAAGAAATATTGTGTAATTAACAATACATATCATATGTATATTATATTAATAATAACATTTTCTATATACACATTGATATGAGTAAATGTTCTTGTTTATTTCATGAAACTCTTGCTTGCCATATATCATACATATAACATTTTTTTCCAATGTTTTTATATATAAATTTATCAGACAATTATGCGCTGGTAATAAATTTCTGTAATATGCAAGACAAAGCTCTTTGGTATTTTTTTTGTATTTGGTATAAAGTTTTGTATGTTTAATTGGGTCTCCAACTATATGTATATTTATATGTCGATTAAATGTAAAATATATTTAGTTGACATATAAATATTACGTATAAACTATGATATTGCATTATAAGCAAATTTATAACTTGTAGCAAAAGTCACAAATCTTCTTGCATTGTATAATATATATCATGAACATGAATTATCTTTTTTATAAATATATCATGAAAATTGCTTTAAATATAAATGTCGAAAATATATACCTATATGCACTATACTTTGCATATATATTTTATATTTTGCCTGTAAAATGTACCGCCTAATACCATACATATAACTCTTTGCTCTTAATGATGAAGTTGATAATTATGCATATCTAGAAGAAAGTTTCAATGAAATGTTTGCATATATATTAAATCTACAATTATAAGTAAACAACTAGTGGAGAAAGACTAGGGAATGCTACGTCACATGTTGCTGTATCAGTAAGTTTCAACACTTACATTTTGCTACGTTCATACTAAGCGATTAACGAAATCATACACTCACTTGATCACAAGCGATATGTGAAGTATAGCATTCAGGTACTATATTTATCGATCCACAATAAAATTGCACACTGTATGAAAAATACATATATAAACGTATAAATCATTACATGATTTGATTATTGTTCTTAAGCAGAAATATATAATTCCTTACGGTTTTTGCAACCGTAAGATTAATGCTAGAAATATTCTAATACATTTGCTATCGATCGTTTTTTTAAGTTAGCTCGATTAAAATTAAACCCACATTGAGTGTATATAAATGCCGCTTTTCTTAAAAATATACATACGCAATTTCTATAATGGCATTGATTGTACATGATTTAATAATCTTGCTAATCGCGCGCACGCACGTGTTATTGTATATTTATTACTATATAAGAAGAAATTTCAAGATAAAATTTTTTCGAAATCATCGGAATTAAGTATTATCATTACGTAGGTTTAAAGATCTTATTGCCATCGACATCACGGCAGTGTAGACGGCAGTGAAAGATATATGCGATAGCAAAATGCTTAATATATTAATATGCTAGCCTACTTGTACGTAATACGACACAGCAGCATTATAAGAGCATTGATGCGTAATATGATAATCATCAGTAATAGATCGGCAACAAAATTAATCTTATTTCTCTTGTACAAATATAAATTTAAAATTCAAATAATAAGAATTTATAACATGATAACGTGTAAAGAAATACTGTTCTTTGCAAAATTAATTTCTATCTTCTAAAGATTGAGTAGTAATATATTAAATAATATATTAATTAAATAACCAATAAACATGAAATAGAAATAAAAAAAAGAAATAAACAACTGATTAACAGACTAGTACTAACAGATAATTTCTTTCCAATCTCAGAAAAAGTACAATGTGTCAAACCGAAATAATATGAAGTATATATGAATTATTTGTTTAAAGATATTGTGCTTTTCTTAATTTTTTAATCGCGTACAAATCTGTATGTAGATGTACACACAAATATATCCAACTTACGCATCCAGTTAGGTGTGAACAGGTACGATTTTCACGTAACAAATGCAACCTACTTTCTCTGATCTCTTATAGTCAAATATCAACACGCGACAAGTTTTACTCTACATAAAAATCGTAGACTATCGGAAAAGCCAGCCAAAATTATTCTGTGCGAATATATCTTTGTGTATATAAATATCATAGAGCTAAAGAGTCCCAAGCATGTTGGTAAAAATTTTTCAAAAGCTTAGGCTTTTCGTCTAAATTGTTAGCAATAGACAAATACTTTATAGAATTTAAGTATCGATCGCTAACAATAAATATATATAAATATATATATATATATATATATATATATATATATATATATATATATATATATAGTTTAGCAGTAAAGCTGTGCGAGTCTTACTCAAAGCCAGTGTCGAAGCAAACTTGCTGTAGCCGTTAGAACTTAAGCTTTATTGGCGTTGTAATTTTCGTATTTGGTCCTCTAATTCTTTGACACGCAGCTGACTATTAGCAAGCTGCCGTCGTACTAGCCTTAATTCGTCGGTTTGACGAGCAAATGCTAATCGAAGTTCCGCCTCATTGTTTGGAACGTCCACAGTCTCCATAACTTTATTGTCATTAAGTGGCGATGATATAATATTTTTCTGGAATAAAAAAAATTAATTAAATATAAAATTATTTTGTAATTATAAATCGATGGTATAAACATATCTTATATTCTTACCTGCACATTTCCAAATTTTTGCTGTAGCTGTTGAAACTTTGTGCTTTGATTGCTGGATGTTTTCTGACTTTTTTCCGACATGTCGTGTAATTCCACCGGTCTATAATCAGGTATTGTTTCAGTAGACAGAAACGCGAATTTCTTTTTATTATTCAGATCGGTAGTCGCAGGCAATTGCGGTGGTTTGTATATTCGTGGCTTGTGCGTCGAAATGCTTCCACCTGATAAGATACAGCACGATATTCATTAACATGATTGTTCGATAAATTTTTGTTGTTGCATACAAGAGGTTTTATTTTAAATTATACACACGAAAAACTATTGTTGTACGCTCAAAATCAGAAAATTTTTTTATCAAAAATATTTTTTTATTTTATCAATAGTTTAAAAATATTTGTGTGCGTTCTTTAAAATAGGATATCTTGTATCATCGTACTAACAAAAAATACGAGACCTGTTTTAAGAGAGATTAAGATTGGCGGACTATTCATGCCGCTGATCCAGTCTCTGGCCGACAGTGCGGGACACGTTCCAATTGTGTCAGGATATAGATCTTCTTGGAATTGATCACTCTGAAATATAATACATCTTTTAATCGAGAGAATTTTAAAATATATAATTCTCGAATTTTAATTATATTTTATATTTAGAGCTATATGAAAAGACATAATATTAAAAATGTGAACTTGCCTTTCGAGGTACTATCATCGAAATTGGCTCACACATTCCGCGAGTCGCGTGCAGCTTGTAAAATCTAAACACCTCGCACATAGCGGTATTGATTCCTCTTTTTGGCATTATTCCTAATCCTCTTTGAGGATTTCCAGATATGAATTGACTAAGGTAATGCATCCAAGGTGCCTCATTGACTACTTCGTAATATCGAATATTACCATCGCCCTATAAAAGAATAATAATGCAGTCTTAAATAGTTCGTGTTACATATTTTATATCTTTCTTACCTTTCCTGCTAAGAACACCATGTTGGTATCGTTATCATAAAATGGAAAAACCACCCCACTCGAAGAATCTATCGTTTCACACATCAATGGAACAGTTAGATCATGCTGGCTCCATATTGCATACTGTCGGTCCGAGTGTCTGCTAAATCCAGTAGTCAAGAGACGTCCAGAACTGCCGAGGAATACAACTTTGCTCGCTTTTGTACCGGCATGACACACCCCTTCCTATTCGATATATTCGATATAATTAATATTAAATATGTATTAATTTTATTCTGTGCAATATAAGAATATTTAATTTAAAGCTAAATATTATGTATTTGTTATATTATAATAGATTTTATTATACACACATATATAATATAATATATTATAATGAATTATATTATATTGTGTTAAAAAAAAGGAGATTCAGACTTTCTGTAGGATTTTGTCACACTCTGTGTTTACTTACCGAAACGACAATACCGGACCTCGGTTCAAAAACGCGCAATTTCTTATCCTTGCACGTGGTTGCTAACAAGCTGCCATCTCGATTTAAGGATATGCTGTAGATCACATCGGGATGTCTGTCGATGACACTCACTGCTTCACATCTGTTTACATCCCACACGATAACAAGATGGTCGAAACCGGCACTGAAGAGTACATTTTCCGCTACCGGATGCCATTCGATATAAGCGACGCGTCGTTTGTGCCCTTGCAATTCCACCAACCATTCAGTCAAGTTTCTCGACAACCCACCATCAGGTATATGCCACAATTTTATCTAGATAAAAACACAATATTGACGCATTGATTATTTTGTACTCTCGGTCTATCTTGCGTAAATTTTTCTCTTATAGAGATGACAAAAGCAAAATGTTTTCTTACAGTGCAATCATCGGAACAGGATGCAATGATGTTGTCGTTAAATGGATTCCATTTGATGTCCAAAACGGGACCGGTATGTCCAGTTACTCGACTGGCATTGAAGTCGAGTCGTCCGGTCTGTAACGTTAGAGGTAATAAAACATTATTATAATAATATTAATAAATATGCGAGATGAAATTTATGTTTTTATTAAATAGCCATTATATTTAAGATATATATTCAAGATATATGACACATCGTTTTACTATTTAATCCACATAATTCAGTCATTTTTATTATATACATAATAGAAATCAGGGAATTACAATTATATACAAACAGAAATTCGAAAATTTTTATTATGTTCATAATTTTAATTCCTCGAATTTATATTATTCATATAATTTTAATTGACGAATTTCTATTATATACATTATTTTAATTCCTGAATTGTATAGCATATAATTTATATATATGTACTAGTATGTATTTATATTTATATGTACTAGTACTTTTTATCGATACTGATGTCTGGGAAAATTATTTGTACTTTGATTACAGTCGTCATGATGCAAGCTTTTCCCCAAGTAGGGCAAGAATCAATAAATCGATAAGACACAGAGATAACTTACACGATCCAACGATAAAACCAGGAATGCTCCGCCACCCGCAACTTCCGTCACGACGGCCAGAAACTTGGGATTTACGGCGCAGAATTGCGAATCGTGGGCGTTCTTCGTGATCTTGATGTTGTCGTAACATTTTTCCCTTTTGGCCGGCACACCGTAAACGTGCCGAAATTTGCTGCTTCGAACACCGCGAAACCACGACTGCAAATAAATTATTATAAATCCATTTTTATCTCATGTATTTCTTCTACGTTAATTTCGCAAATTTGATATATGCTTCATGCAAATTAATTGTTGAAACAATGTCATGTAAATATGTCACTACGAATATTAACAAAAATAATCATGAATATATATATATATATATATATATATATATATATATATTGTATATATGTTAATTTTATGTGATTACATCTTTTCACCGCGATAAACTCGCATTTCTGAAATAGGATATAATATGCGCATATGATGATTTCGAAGAAACGTTCGAAGAAAAAAACATATATTTCGTGTATCATCTTTGGTAAAACTCTCTCTTGTTCAGAAACCGTGAAAAAGAAAGTTACTGCAATATCGTGAACGGAAATACTGATATCCTCTTATCAAGCTGACAATTATAGAATTTGTAACGAATGCTTCAGACAATAAAGTCGAGAATCGACAAGACGCAGTGAGGCATAAACAATGATCATGAAGACAAAATATAATGTAAAGTTAGATTCTATTTAATATTACAATGTTCGTATTGTATAAAATTACGTGATAATCAATATAATATAATATATATTTAGTATTTATATATTATAATTTATATTAATTATATATATACCATATATATATATATATATTACATTTTTCAAAAAATACTCTGAAAAATAAGATATTCGTCGAGTGTCGTTTATTTTTTTTGTTTCAGTTTTTCCTTTTGAAACAAAAATCTCATTTTTAGTCACGTTTTTCGTTTTTTAATTGTTCCGCTTGTTTTTAATTGCCTCATTGCATATGCACGTGGAGAAACAGCAAAGTCGCATGTGAAATTTTCTGTGAATCTGCGAGTCGACGTATTTATACTGACGCAGTGTAGCGCGGCGAGATAGATCGAATTATGCGACTTTTTCTCATAAAAATAAAAAAAAGTGAATTAAACGGATCACGAAAACTGTAAGAATTTACTGCGAAGAGGACGAACTCTCTCAGTAAATTGCATCGATCGATTCATCTTTCATCTATGTACGAGCTATCTTTGATTAATTTGATGTCGAAGAGATGCAAAAGCTACTTGTGAAATTAAATGAAGAATCTCTGAAGTCTCTGATCCTTGATCAATTGCAGTCGCTTGTAAATTGGATGCTCTTATGAAAATTAACTCTTAAGCGAATTGATCAAAGAGATTGTAGATAAAAGATGAGTCTCTCTCCGAACATCCTGTATATTAGTAATAAGTATGCAAAGTACCGTAGTCAGGATCAATAATGGCTACATTATGTAATGAGTTGTTGTCAACTCTTTTACTGCGCAGATAATGCAACGAAGACGTGTTCGATACTTTCTACCCTTGCTTAGTCTACTTGAATCATTTGCTACAAAGGATTTGTGCGAAATGCTCATACACATACATGCACACATTAGTTACAAAAGATGTATTGATTTTAACAAAAATGCTGTATTGATTTTTAATATTCTCTATATTCTATATATATATATATAAATAGAATTAAAAAATAAAAAACAAAATTTATTTACCATGCTTAAGTATAATCTTGGCTAAGGATATAACACGATAATTAGATGCAAATAAAAAATTAGAAACATAAAATAACGAAATTATCCATAATTTTAAAAAATGCACGGCAAATTCATTTACAATTATATCAATTTACTCATTATTTTAATATAAAAATTGTAATTTTTAATTTGCACATACTATTGTAAATTGATTCTCATGTATTAAAGATATTTTGTATTTTTTCTTTAAATTACTTTACGTCTTAGCACATTATTGTATATATTTTTGTACAAAAGCTTCATTATATTCGTAGCAACAACCTTCTTTAATCTTTTTAAATCGTTATTTCAAAATTACATTATCATTACCTGTAATGATAGGTTCTCATTATCACATAATTCTAAAAAGTATCTCTATATATAACCGCATATACACGTCACGGTACATGCTTGCGTTTGAATAACAAGCAATTGAAGCAAATGCATCACTTCACAACAGTAATGGCAGAAATGTAACTTGCTTATTTGTAATAAAAAACCATTGGAATGCAAATATAATTGCCATGATTACACGTACAGTACAAGATGTAATTACTTACGGTAGCGTATATTTTTATTTTGGCGATTCTAATCTTCATTATTATTGTGTATATATCTCTATATAAAATGTAAATTATACGTAGGATATTGCGCTTCTAAACAAAAATTATTCTCTACACGTGCGTAATCGTTTAAATATTCATTCAATCGTGTATGATTCTTCGGATATTTATTCTGTGCAATAAAAAAAAAAGAGGAAAGGATCATCTCGGTAAAGAATTATATTCGCTGCAGGATATTATGGCAAACAAGAAGTAGAGGATGAAAAGAGAAAATCTTAAGATTATAGATAGAGATGCTTCCGGTTCCCACGTGCCCATCTGTCAAACCATCGTGTTTTTACGTCACTTGCTGTCTCTATATATCACAGAGCTTATATACACTGGAACGAATTAAGTTCATAATTTGTAAAAAAAAAATAATATCGGAAAAGCTCTGTACATTATTAAAAATCCTTTAAATCTCTGTAATTTTAAAAAATTGATCGTATTCAAATAACGAGCTTGATTCGTTCCAGATCTAAATGATTTTCCTCGGCATTAAAAAAAATTGTTAGCTTAACTAAATCTTTCAACTAAATATTAGTTTGTTAATTGAACACATAAAAATATTTAAATTAAATGTAACACGTTAAATCTAACAAAACGTATATATTTGACTTAAAATACGTTCAATTTATATCCCATATAAATAAAATTAAGATAAAAAATTACGATAATTAGATGCAAATAAAAAATTAGAAACATAAATTAACGAAATTATCTACGACTTAAAAAACAAATAAATTTATTAAATAATGTATGAAGACTTATATCATTAAATTTATTCATTATTTTAAAATATAAAAATTGTAACTTAGTAATTTAAAATAGTAATTTAGTCGAAAGGTTTAGTCGAGTTATTAAATTTTCTTTTCAGCGCGATTTCGCGATTTTCGCGTACGGACGAGGCTACTCACCTGCTTATTGTTGGTCATGTCTGACGTTAATCGGGAACTGGAGACAGCCGGTGCTCGACACGTGCTTGGTGAGACGATCGTCGCCAGTGCACAACGGGGACACGGTAATCGACAAGCCGGGACCCATGCATGTGCAGGTGGTTGGAGAAGTAGATAAAGAGAGAGAGAGAGAAAGGGAAAAAGGAAGGGAGGAAGGAAGAGCAAGAGAAAAAAAGAGAAAAAGAGACGAGAGATGTGGATAATATTGCAACCAACTACACAAGTCGTTCTCTCACGTCGCGCTTACTAAAAGAAACAAAGGGAAATGAGACACGCGTCTAATTAGCAACCCATAAAATCATATATAAAGTGGCGTGGCTGTATACATATAGGATAAAGGTCCCTTTCATGATTTACGCGTCATGCGCGCGCTATGTATACACAGGGTGTCTAAAAAGTCACCGGATGTCCGTCTAATGACCGATCGATTTTCTGATCGAGTGTTGGAGTATCGATAATTTCAAAAATTGCAAGAAATTTTTTTAAACCAAATTTCGAGTAAAAGAATTAACCGCGATAAAAGTTAATTCTTGTCGACTTTTTCCTGAAAAAAATCTGTCATTAAAAGGACACATTGTATAATGTAGACTCCATTACGGACTGTACATTACACAGTTCCGGATTAAAAAAAATGAAACACGACAGTGTCATCAGTTTCTACCATGAAGCATGTCAACACCGAGGAATCGATCATTTTCGTTTGACTCATCAATAAATTATTATCCATCGTACGTGCGTTTCACCTGATTTTATCGCCCAAAGGGATTACGAAATTAACCGCACGAGAGAATATATTTGCATGAATATGTATTATATGTGCATATATTGATTGCGTTTGGATTCCGAAACTGATGACTCGTAACTTTAAATTTTAAATCATTCATATCCTGATACATACATACAAATGCGCCATGCTGCTAACTTTTCGTTCGCTCGACACTTAATTATATCGCGATTGAATAACGAAGGGATTACGAGATCGAGAAAGATTGACATGCGCTCGCGCAGAGGATCGAGAAATACGTAACGAGAGTTTCAAACGTTTCAATCGCGCCAGCTGTTCAGTTTCTACTGACGAGCGAATTGTCTAGCGCTCGTATAAAGTGCTCCGATGCTTCCTGTCACTTGTCTGTCATCGCGTCAAATCATTAGCATTTTTTTCTCAAACTAAATACATTTATTATTCTTCGAGAAAATATATATATATATAAATTATCATCGATAAAATTATTTTAATTCGACATTATTTAATTAAGCTTTGTGTTTTTAAATAAAATTTAAATATATCATATTAAATATAAAATTAGATTATAAAAATATTATATTAAAATTATATTATAAATATATGTATATTATAAATATAAAAAATTCAAATAAAAATACGTTAAAAAATTTATATAAATTTCTCTATAATTATTTAGCATTGCTCTAGTTTATGTATCTCTCTTATATTAAAAGCGCGATAAAAAATCATGAAAACATCCTGTCATTCATTTCTCTCATTCTTTTTATCATCTCTTATCCTATGCAAAGTCCATATCAAACTTTCGCATGCACTTCAAACGTCAAACAACAACGAAACACAGACGGTGTATTTAAAAAATATATTTGTTTACATACTAATTAATAAATACCATAGCAAATAAAAATATCTTCATATGTGAAATCGCCATTATTATCAATGCGAAGCAATTTACAAATTTACAATTAATCTACTATAGTATAACAATCCGTGCGTGCAAAAAAAAAATAATTTTCTTCTTAAAAAAAAAAACTACGCTAGAAGCGCAAATATCGTAAAGCGTAAAATTCGCAAGGAAATAAAAATGACTCACTTTGCCGCTGGGCTTGTAACAGGCCCTGGCGTCTACCATGTTGTTCATGATCCCGTGCTGTTCTTCGGCGTCGAAGCCCAATTTCTCCGCGAATTCCTCCCTCGTGCGTATCATCTCCCGGTGGACGACGTTGTATCCCATAGACACCTCGCGCGAAACTCTTTTTCTGCCCCCTTTCCCGAGGAAAAACGACGCTTGTATACCTCCTGAGGGAAGTCGGCGTTTACGATCACTCGCTCGAACGAGATGACGCCTCGTCGTCGCTCTTCACCGGCATTTCCTGTCAAAATCGCGAAACAGATCGCGGAAAACCCGCAAATCGCTCACGAGCCGAACACGTGTCCGAGAACTTGTAATCTCGATCGGAAGCCTTCGTTGATCGTAAACTCGTTCGTACTTCTTTCACGTATATATTATAAACACGCTTGTCATACACACACGCACACACACACATACACGCGCGCGCTATCGACCTGACATTCCGCGCGTAAACATTGACGCCGAGTGACACGAGCCGCAAAACGCGATCAAACAATGATCGCCCGTGCAGTTTTGACAGTCACGAGGTGCGTGGAACACCTAGAAAGGCGGACGAGTTCGTCGCGGTCGAGCCGGCTTCTGATTGGCTGCTGGCGCGCGATCCTAGAAATTCCCTAGCCAAAAGCCAATCAGTTTCGGGCGACGTGTAAAATCGTCCAAAAATCGATATCTTTTTATTGCACCATGGAACCGTGAAAAGTGAAAAATTTCCAGCAATCACGCATTGATTTTAAAATGAAATCGATGTGTGATTGGAAGAAATTTTTCACTTTTCACATTTTCACTTTAGAAAAAATTACACAATCGATCCCCTGATTGGCTATTAATGTACAGGCAGAGAGAAACCTGAGAGCGGCCATTTATCGTGCTTTTTACCGAGCTTCACGTAGTTTATGTCCACTTTGTCTGGGGGCGCACTAGTGCACGCGGCCGCTGAATCCCGGTGGTCGCTCTCTTGTTTCTTTCTGCAGAGAGATAAAATTTTGCAATTTGTGCGAAGCTTTACCGCGATGACGTCACCGTACACGGTTTATTTATAAGATAGCCGACGACGTTCTCCGATTCGTACTTCGAACTTGTGTTCGTGCACCTGCACGTCGCAAAAAACCGCAAGCCACATCGCGTATTCCACAGTTTCGCGTCGTCCTCGAGGAAAGTACGTGAATCTATAAATAGAGCCTGAGCCGACAAACAAAGTACCGCTGCAAAGTTTGTTTCGACGTTCAGCGTTAAAATTGTCGCTATTAAAAACAAGGTTGGTTTTATTCGAGAGTTGCAAATGCTTCGACATATCCGAGAGATCTTTGACATTTCGCGATCTTTAATGCTATAAAAGGTATTTTTGATGTCCGCGTTGTTCTAAAAAAAGATCTGCCGGCTCCTGAAAATTGATAGACTAGTCGCGGCGACCGATAAGATTCCGCGAATCTCGTGTACATCTCGGGCAAATCGACGTGTCATATAACTGATTTCATCGAGAACCACGTCAGTTTTTGCAGACTTGCGTATAAATAGATAATTAATGTTGCAGTGATATGAGTCAACATTTTTTCTTCATACAATTATCGTTACAAAACACTTCATACAAACGCAAGTAGGAAACACTGTGATGGAAAATAAATTCAATTTTATAACGAAAAACAAAATTTTTTTGAAGATTTTAAAATGTAATAATTAACTTGTGTGTTTTATATTATTTTCAGATATTTGCGTATAAACGAAAAGAAACTAAGAAATAAACATGAGTTTACAGTGGACACTCATTGCTGGTTTTCTGTATATTGAAGTTGCTATAGTTCTTCTTCTGGTATTACCAGTAGCTTCGCCAACTAGATGGCAAAAGCTCTTTAAATCTCGTTTCTTGCAAAGTCTAAGCAACCAAGCCTCCGTTTATTTTGTGATTCTACTTGGCATCTTGGTTCTCTTTCTACTGGATGCTATTCGAGAAATGCGAAAATATTCCAAAAATGGAGATCACACAGAGCATCATCAATTAAATTTAGAAATGCAAGGTAAATTATTATATATAGCATTGTATTTAATCGCATTTAAATATCACATGCTTATCTACTAATTGTAGCATTATTATATCTTTTAATATATTGCTCTTTTTTTTTTTATAGAAAACATGCGGCTGTTCCGTGCACAGAGAAACTTCTACATATCTGGCTTTGCGCTATTTTTGAGTTTGGTGATACGGCGTCTTGTTATTTTGATATCCACTCAAGCTACATTACTTGCGCAAAATGAAGCAGCCATGCGACAAGCTCAATCTGCAACAACCACAGCTAGGAGCTTACTGTCCCAGAGGACAATTGGGGAAAGTGCACAGAATGATTCTAATGAAGCACATGACAAACAAGTTTCAGAATTGAAAAATCAGATTAAAGAATTGCAAGTTAAAAATTTGGAACTCGAGAATAATTTAACTAAAGAAAAAAAGATAAAGAAGCGGTAAAATCGCAGGCAGATTCAGTTGCAAAAGAATACGATCGTTTGTCTCGCGAACACGCAAAACTTACGCAGTCGAGTAGCGATAAGAAAAGCGATTGAATGTTTTTTGAAGATTTGTTCTGAAATCTTTTTTTTTATTTTTACTTTATTGTTTTATTTTTACTTTATTGTTTTGCTCACAGTCGCAGCTCTAAGTCTTAAGACATTGTTATGTTGTATTGAATTTTGTGTTGCATAATTTTTGAACAAGAACCACATTTCACGAGTTACAATTAAAATATATTTATAAGTTTCGTTAAAAGGTTGTATATAAAAATATTAATGTAATGTGCCTCATAATACACATTATATATCCTTTTTCCAGTTTTGTGCACTTTCTGCATATAAAGCCTGAACTTACATTTTGTGATTTGCAATGCTGCTACATATAAGTTAATTAAAATTAGTAAGTCTGATTTTTTTTGTAAAGAGAAAAACAATTTCTTTATATTTGTTTTTGCAAAAGTATTATACAAATTTTAATTATAACAGTAAATGTCAATTTTATTTATTTTATATTGCATGAAAATTATTTCTGAATATTGCATGCCATACATTGGCAATTATTAATAGTGTATAAATAGAATATTTTACGTACATCTTAGACAATATATTTCAAATGTACTTCCAATTTTGCATTTGCAACATTTTCTCGTTTTATATATTTACTGATAATCTTACGAAATCGTATATTATGGAATAATATTATTTTCTATAATGCTGTATTTGTAGGCCTTTATTTGGGTCATCTACCCTAGATTTATGCTGTATATATTTTGATCTATGAATAGAACTGTACTGAGAACCTCGAAATAACAAGTTGTTCAGGTTGCTTTTCATAACATACATAATATTTTCCTGCATAACTATGATAAACCCCGTTATTTTAATGAACAAATCTTGTGCCTTATAACACATAAAATTGTATTCTGTTATCCAGCTCTGGAGAAAAACGCTATTAAAATGTTTGGAAACGAAAAGAGAAACTTTGTGTTTGATGCTTAACAATATTTATCTCATATATGTAACATCTCTCATTTTATTACAAATTGTAATATATATATTCTTCAAATAATTTATTTTTTTACATTTTCCTCCACGTGTTCTTTGCTTTTATACTACTTTTTATCAGCAATATTCTGCCGAATTAAAATAAGCACTTTAGAGGCATTATTACCTTATCATACAATTTATTATTTGTTGACTAAATGTCCTTTGTATCCATGAAGCACATAAAAGTAGAGATAGAAATATATTACGAACGCGCTTCAATCACACGTGTATAATGCACGTTCCAGACACAATTTGAAAATTCTTCTACCAAGTTTGAACATTTGAGAGTCTCCTTAGGATGATCCTGGAAACACTTTAGGACTTTATTACTACCTTCCAGACATGGTTGCACCGCACCTTGGATATCAACAGATTTTTGCCCTATAACAAATAACACAATAAATTTACACAAACCCAGGAGACAATATTTATAATCTAATATTTAAGCATTGAATTATTAAATTATATTTTAATTTGTTGACTCAAGTAATTAAAGCAAGAAACACATATCTATTATTTTATACATAAAATCAATTTTTCTATACCATAATTTTTCTATTATCATATATTTTAAAAAGCAAATGTCAATAAAATGTTATTATTAGATGTTAGTTAATACAAGATTTTTGATAAATATACACAAACAAAGGTAGGGCAAAAATTAAGAAAATAAATCAATTTTTGCAATATCTAAACTCACCAGTCTTAGTAACAGACGTTTCATTGGCAGCTTTCTTGTACTCGTCCTCTAAGACACGATTAACTTTCTGGTAACCATCCTCTAGGTTCTGCAACCTCCTGTGCCAGTATTGATCTTGCTTCTTCAACTCTTGCTCCATGTGTTGTTGCATTTGAAGCGCGGAAACTGTCAATTCAGGATAATACACCGGCTGTCCGGATGTCACAGCAACAGCAGGAGGTGCTGCACTAGGAGGTGCTGTTTGCCGGACCTTCGACGAGTCGGGTCTCGGAGGATCCGTCGAGGATTCGTTGACCTCGGAACCGTCCCGTTGTTGAGCGAGACGCTGCACAATCGCGTTTGACACCTTGATCACACCGACCTCCTCCTCGTTCGAGATGGTCAACTTGCGAGCACTCTGGCCGGAGCCCATCTTCGGGGTCCTAGCTTAGCAGCCCGCCGAAACTTGACAATTTTGAGAGTCACTCTGTTCTTAATCTATAGAAAATAATCGCGGTCTCTTTTAACGAGGCGATACTTACAGCATCGTTTTTTTATTATCCCGTCGAGTCTTATTTTTTTTAATCCATTGACAGCGAGCGAGTGTCGTCAAAAAAATGAAGTTACATAAAATACTCGGAATCTTAAACCCTTCCACCGCCTTCCAGAGTCTTGTTCCAAAATCTACTCGTCCGAGTGACGTAACGCTCGATTGGCCAATCAGAATGACAGAAACAAAAATTTCTCTTCCTTCTGATTGGTCGATCATAATTTATTCTGCTTCGACAACATTTTCGAACGCAGTCTAATATAATTATACTTTATCCTACCACGCGGTTAGTATCTCGTTTTATTGGAGTAATTTTTCGTTTTTTAATTGAAAAAAAATGCTCCGAATAATTCTAGGCAAAAACTTTTGTTCGAATACTTGAAATTTGTCTATGTGTTGGAAAGAAATTAAATTTTGTCCAAAAGAAAATCAAACTTTTCTAAATATAACCTAGAAAGGAGATTTTTATGTCTATATAATTTATAACTTATATATATAATAATAAAAGAAAAATTAGAAAGATAAATGAGAATAAAAATAAAAAAAAGAGACTTTAAGATTTTATGTATGTGTTAAATATGACATCATTTTAAATGTCACATATTGTACTCTTGTGTTTATTTATGAAAAGAAAGCGTACATAAAATATGTTTTATGATATTTACGTTTTTTTTAGCTGCATATAGATGAATAAAATGGAGTACATTGAAGAGATACCTGAAACTAAGAACATGATGTATGTACATATGATTATATATAAAATATTCTGATGAGATAAAAGTTAGTTCTTGCATGTATAAATAATTATTAATCTGCAGCCTTTGCTGTGATTGTGGGACTCTCATCGAGCCAAATCCAGCCAATATGTGCGTAATGTGCTTGCGTAACCACGTCGACATTACAGAGGGAATTCCTAAACAAGCTACCTTACAGTTTTGTAAGAATTGCGAAAGGTTCGATATTTCTTGAATAGATATTAAAAATTTAACATTACATATAAATAATGATTTGATTGTTTCAATTAATATTACATGACAGATATCTTCAGCCACCTACTGAATGGATTCATGCTGCATTAGAATCTAAAGAGCTCTTAACACTGTGTTTAAAGAAATTGAAAGGATTAAATCGTGTGAAATTGATAGATGCTGGATTTATATGGACAGAACCAAATTCCAAAAGATTAAAAGTAAGTCCATTGTATGTATAATACAGTTAAAATTTAGAAAATTATAATACTTATGTACAACTAATAAATTAGAATTATAATTTAAATTAATATTGAATTGAATAAGTATTAATTGTTAATATATAATGCATGCAATAGATACTTAAATAAAAGTATAACTTATTACATACAATGACTATATTTACTATACAGATAGTATTTATAATATTTAATAGTAATTATTTATTTTTAATATTTTTTTATAGGTGAAATTAACTGTTCATGCAGAGGTAGTTGGTGGTGCAGTTCTGCAGCAAGTATTTGTGGTTGAATATATTGTGAATCATCAAATGTGCAATGATTGTCATCGTACAGAGGCTAAAGATTACTGGCGTGCGAGTGTAAGTTTGCAATTTAAGAATTTGTGAAAGAGACTTAAAAGCCAATTGATTATATTTAACCTTCTTGTACACATGCACACATACAATGTGATATGTACATATATATACATATATATCTTTTACAGGTACAAGTTCGACAAAAAGCAATAAACAAAAAAACCTTTTTTTACTTGGAACAGCTTATATTAAAACATAAGGCACATGAACAAACACTGGGTATAAAGCCTATTTATGGTAAAAAATATTTTACAAGAACTTTTGTGTATTACCAAATAAGAGTTACATATATATCTAAAATCTTTTTGTAATATTTACAGACGGTTTGGATTTTTTCTATACAAATGAATCTGCAGCCAGAAAAATGGTTGATTTTTTACTGACAGTCATCCCATGTCAGTATCAACATTCCAAAAAATTGATTTCATATGATTGTCATAGTAACATATACAATTACAAATTTACATACAGGTAAATATATATATATATATATATATATATATATATATATATATGCACATTAGTATGCATTTCAATTTTATTTAATAATTTTTTTATGCCGAATAGTGTCGAAATTGTTCCAATCTCCAAAGATAGCATAGTCTGCCTACCACGAAAGTTAACGCAGCAATTGGGTGGAATCAGTCCTATCTGTTTGGTATACAAAATTACAAATTCTGTGCATCTTATAGATGTTTCATCAGGACAAAGTAAGCCACAATATTAGTACTTTGAGTACTTATAGTTAGTAATTTTAATGATAGAATTAATTTAATTCATCATATAAACAGCAGTTTCATTTTTCTAGTTGCTGAAGTAAACGCGACTACCTACTGGAGACATAATTTCAATAGTATATGTAATCCGAAACAATTAACAGAGTTTGTTGTGATGGATATTGAACCAATAAAATATACAGATATAAAAACTTTCCCAGGGCAAGGATCTATTTCTAAGAAAGTAAGTCTTCTTCCTGTATAAAATATTTCAATCAGTCACATTTAACTTTCTATATTATTCAAACTTATAACTTATAATTATTGAAGAAAGACTATTTATGTTGTATGCATTATTTAATTCAATATATATTTTAATCAAGAAAAAGTAAATATATATATTTCTGTAAATACGCGTTTGATTTATCTTATAAAAGAAAAATATATTTTAATGAATGTTTAAGTTTTTCATTATACATGGTTCATAAACATAAGCATATATATCTTGTTAACAATAGGAATTTTTATATTTCATTCTAGATGAGTTTACTATGTATAATTAATTTAAAAAACTCTTGAATTCACTATATGATTATTTCTAGCACGTCATAGCGGACGCGTGGCTAGTAAAAGCATCCGAATTAGGCATAAACGATAATCCAATTCACACACGTACGCATTTGGGCCATGTACTTAAACCAGGTGATTCGGTCTTAGGGTAAGATTCTGAAAATTAATTTATAATAAATCTACAGTATGTAATATTATAATAATCATTGACAAATAGGAGTATATATACATATATAAGTTATTTCTCGTTATATTGTTGCAGCTATTCTTTAAAAGATAGTAATATCAACGATACCAATTTCGATAAACTAAGCGAAGATGTAGTACCCGATATTGTTCTGGTGAAAAAGTTTTATGACAAGGTGGCTCGTCGCAGGGCGAGAGTCTGGAAGTTGAAACATATCGCTGATGAAGTATTGAGTATGAGTACCGAGAATAAGTAAGAAATTATATATATATAAAATTTACAATACATATTGTATATGCAAATTATCTCACATGAAATGATTTTAATTTACAGTGAGTATAATGAATTCCTCGACGATTTGGAAGAAGACCCGGAATTGAGGCAGAACATCAATATATTTCGAGACTCTAGGAAACAGATTCCTGTTGATACTAATGAAATAGATCCGAGTATTCCGCAGATTACACTCGAAGAAATGTTAGACGATCTTGTAATAGAAGATACCGAAATGACCGAAGTTGCCGAATAAAAAATAGTATATTTGGAAGAATAATCTGTTTTGTAAGTTACATCTATAAAAAGTATACTAACGAAAACTTTCAAAATATATATTTTTGTAGAACTTGGCAATGAATCACTACATGTTTTTTTTGGTAATTTACATGTAATAATAATTTAATGTTTAATTGTAAGATTATGATAATTAAATCTATTACTTATTATATCGTTTTTACGCGATATATATTTTATGTATAAATAATCGATACAAATAAAATGAATAATAATATAAATAATTGAGTTTTTTTCTATATTTATGATTATAGAAGTGTTAATAGAATACATATATGTTATGTGTAATATTTTTAAAGCGTTAGTAGAACAAACAATCAGCATGTCCAATAAGGAATATTTCAATTCTCAACTGCGAAAATAAGCTAGATAAATATATTTTGCAAATATTTTCACGCGATAATTTGTTTATATATATGTATATACATATATGTTAGATTAAAGAGAGAGTTACTATAATCAACCGTATCAATATTAAAGAGGGAGTTAATGATGATAAAAGTGGGGAATTATCTTAAAGATATATAATAACGCTTTCGCATTACTTATACAATCGTTGTTTACTACAGTGATGTATTGATTCCAATTCAGTGGTATCAATATGCAGTTTTATAAAGTATTATTTTTTGCATTTTTATTAAAAATTGCAAATAGTGATGTAACTATTAATAAAGGTATAAAAAGCTAATATAATTATTTAATTATTTAATATAATTACGATTAATACTTTGATATTCTAATCAGTATTTATACGTACATACATACATACATATATAAACATTTATAGCTTTTTATATATATATATATATATGAGATTTGATTTATTGATGCTTAGTTTTATAATCAAATTGATTGAATAATTAAATAATAGTTATGTCAGATAATTTGATCGAAAATAACACACATACATATATATAAAACATATTTAAATACATATTTATAACATTATTTTTTATTAATTTATTATTATTATTATTATTATTATTATTATTAAGAAATACACGTAAATGATTTTTTGCATTAAAAGACTAATTCAGATTATCAGTTTATTGTGTTCATCGATGATTACATTGTTGACAGCAACTTGATTTTGATAATATGATAATATCATTAAAAGATTAAAGTTATCAATTGCTTTTATTCATCAATCAAGGGGAGATTAAATAAGCTATTTTAACATACAAAACACTTCAGAAAAAATATATATCTCATATATATATACATTCTAGAATATTAATTTTATAGAATTCTATAAAAAAATCACAAGAAAGCATTATATTTTGCATAAGATAAAGAATATATTTGCATAAGATAAAGAATATATAAAAATGTTATATTTATTATATTATTATTTACTCTAAAATAAATAAAATGAATAAAGAATATTATATCTTATATCATCTTATATTTTATATCTGCATATGTTTTATAGATGAGATGATATTACGCTTTAGCGGTGCAATTAATAATTGGGTACAAACAGGAGAAGAGTCTGAGGAGTTTCAAAATTTACTCAATAATCTAACTCTTCCAATTAATTTACACCGTATAAATTGGCGTAGTTCCACCAGTGAAAGCAGCAATGCTATTTGTACACTATGTCGTACCGTCTTCAATACTTTCATAGAATTTCGTAGAAAAGGCATGTCGGCAAATTATATAAAATCTAATGTAATTAAACTTTGTACTCGATTGAATGTTGAAACAGAAAATGTCTGCACTGGTGTGGTGACTCTGCATTTAGTAAGTAAATTATTATATTCTTTTTTATATGCATTATATAAATTTCAAATGAATCAAATAATATAAATAATATTGCAAATTTTTATCATGTTTTTTGTTAATTTTTATAATATAGGTGATATCATGCGATACTGATATCTTTTGTTATCATTCTTATCTATTACATATTTTGATTTGTGTAAACACTTATATGTATAAATTTAATCTTATCACTAAGCATCTCTTATTTGCAGCCAATAATTTTGCATATCGTAGACACAAAACCAAATTTAACAGCGTCTACAATTTGCGGAGTTATATTGGAATCACAATCTTGCCCACTTACTGATGACGAGTTCGAGTGGACAGTCAATATTGATAGTAGTCCTCCAAAATTGGTCGATGCTGATGAGAGCGAGGAGAGTATAAACATAATACAAATAACAGATATCCATTACGATCCTAACTATGAACCTAATGGTAACGCAAATTGTAATGAACCAACATGTTGTCGAAAAGGACAAAATGTTACAAATACAAGTAACAAAGTGGCAGGCTACTGGGGGGATTATAATTATTGCGATAGTCCATGGCATGCTGTGGTTGATATTTTGGAACAGATTAGGGATACACATCAGGTACACAGAAAAAACCTACATTATATATTATTTGTAATTGTTAAAAATGCATCTCATTTGCATTTTAAATTTTAATCCCCAGAATATCTCCTACATTTATTTCACTGGTGATATAGTAGATCATGGTGTGTGGGAAACCTCTGCTTTCGGAAATATCGTGAGCCTTTACAAGAGTTATTCTAGAATCTATGAAACATTCAGAAATACACCGGTATATCCTATTCTAGGTAATCATGAGGCACATCCTGTAAACTTGTAAGATATCTAATTATTTTATCAATAAATATAGATATGCTTTTTTTGTTAATTTCAATTTATTGTTGCACTTATAGATATTAATTATTTCGTAAAATTTTTTCTAGATACGCGCCTAAAAGTGTCACCGATAACAAGATAAACACACAATGGCTATTTAACGCAACGGCTGATTTATGGATCAATGTGGGATGGTTACCAGAATCTACTCGTCTTACTATTCTAGAAGGCGGATATTATACGATTTCACCTAAAAAAGGATTTAGAATTATAGCATTAAACAGCAACGTTTGTTATTCTGCTAATTGGTGAGTCTACAATATCCTTTTTTTAGTTTTAACAATTTTTTATTTTATATATATTTTTGCTTTTTATTCTTTCTCTCTTTATCTCAAAAGGATATGCGTATACGAATCTAAAAAAAAGAATTAAAAAAACTTATGAGCATAAAGATAGATAAAAATTAGATAATATATCAAAACATATATTTTTAAAATCACCATGTATTAATTTTATCTAATAAAAATACCAATAAAATAGCACATAAATATTATTATTTATCTTTTAATAATAAAAAAAAAACAATTTGTAGGTGGTTGTGGTATCAACCAAGAGATCCTTACGGTCAACTGCAGTGGTTAGCAGATACCCTTTTGCAGGCCGAAAAGGACGGCGAGTTTGTGCATATATTGGCGCACATTCCGTCCAATAACGAATGCCATTCTACATGGAAAAGAGAATACCTTAAAATTGTAGATAGATTTGCCCGAATTATTAAAGCACAATTTAACGGCCATACACATAACGATGAGATACTGTTGTTTTACAGCAACGATAATAGTACGACGATAAATAACGTTGCTTGGAATGGTGGTAGCGCAACTCCCTCCACAAAGTTAAATCCCAACTATAAGCTGTATATTGTTGACAATAAAAATTATGTGAGTGTTCTATCGTTTATCAGTAAAATACAATTTATATAAAGAGTCACTCTTAATCTTTAACATGTAATAAAACTGTTACAGGCAGTAAAGGATATAGAGACCTGGATGTATAATTTAACTGAAGCAAACGCAAATGCTCCTCGAAGACCCTCATGGTACAAGTCGTATTCATTTAAAGAGGAATATGACATTCCTGACTTGTCATACAATTCATTACACAATTGGCTGCATAAACTAATACAAGATGACAATTTGTTAAGTCGCTACTACAGGTAATGTACAGGGATTTATATGAAACAGCTGTTAAATATATCATGTCTCATTCAATAATGATTGATTTAGGAACTTTTTCAAACGTGCTGAACCATCATTGAACAAAGAGTGTGATACAAAATGCATGAGAGCTTATGTGTGCCGTGTAATTACAAGTCTGGGGGATCACAGAACATATTGCAATTAAATGTGTTACTTAAGAAATATATTATTAAGAATTAATACTCTACTCTGGAGTAACATATTGTATATAATACTCGATGTAATACAAATATTGTGAAAAATTAGTATTTCTAGAGAAAATAACACTTTATGAAAAAACAACATTCTATATTTTATTATTACTATAATCACTACTATTTATTACAGTAATTTTTCATTATTATAATTTGTATTTACAAGAACATATTTCAATATCTGCTATTTATAAAAATCTGTATTAACATTTTGAAAAATAATTAATAGTGATGCTTGCATACATCTTTTATGTCTATTAATTTAAAAATGGGTATTTTTAAAATTTCATGAGTTGGTAACTTATCAAATAAACAGATCTGCAAAATGAATAATAAACGAAGCGAGTTAAGAAGTGACACTTTGTAAAGTATCATATCAAGCAAGTCATGGCAAGTTATCGATTTATACCAATATAGGAATAAATTCTGCTAAATATTATGTATTATTAAAACTTACCTGTTTTCTAACATAAATAACAAGGGTTTCAACATGTTCTGGATTATTACATTCCAAACAAAAGAATCTCCTCCATAATGCTCCTGCTAATACTTTATCATCAGATTGTATGCCTTCATCATATCCTATTAAAGCAGCGTTGAATTGTTCTGATAATTCTTTTATTTGCTTATTCTTAGTTTTTTCAGTGATTGTCTGCAATTATCATATTTAATAATCAGTAAAGAATAGTCATTGAAGAACTATGATAAGTATATATGTATAGAAAAATAAATGATAACACACTAAAAGTATGTTACTTACACCTAAATTTTCTACTCTGGCATTTGTATCTTCCCATAGTATAGTTACTACACTATTTCTGACTATTTTGCCAACATTGCCTTCAGCCATGTAGCGAACCATTATCATCCATACATGAAGTTCTGTCACCAGAAACCAAGAGAAAAATGTATCTGGCATGTTAAAATCTAGAGAACATATTTAAAATTAAAATCATAGATGGAAATTAGATATTAAATATTCAAATTATAACACACTAAAACTGTAACACAACAAATTATCAAAGAACACATTTATTAATGATAAGTTTTAATTTAATGATTATTAAAACAAATAAATATTTAAATAATTTTATCAATAAGTTATACATATATGTATGATTAATTTAGGATATCAGAAATAAAATATAAGAAATTTATTATCGATAAAAGAAACTTACATTTGTAGAAAAAGGGGTAATCTATTTGAGCCATTACTGTTTCATATACTCGTTGGCCAAGTGCCATATATCTCTGTAAAATAAATCATTAATCAATTTAGTCTAAACTTGACACATTCTTTTGTAACAATAGCATATTATACATATGTTATTTCATGTGCATTATCTCTGTTTTTAAGCAATAAAAAAAGGAACTAATTACATATTTCTGGACGTCTAAGAGACCAATTTTCTTGAGTGTTCTTTCTATAATTCCAACCGGTCGTATAACTTCAATTGTAGACATGCAATGTACAGATGTATGAATATTTTTAGGTCCTAGTAGATGCATCGCAGAAACTCTTGGTAGCAATCTGGCAGTGCTTGTAAGAACTCCATGAATCCGAAGTGCTTTTTGCGTTAGAATTAACGCTGAATTCTAAAAAAAATACGTAATAATACATATATGTATACCATTTATTATGATGACATAAGAAAACCAAATTCTCTAATTTAGGAGTTACACAAAAATGTAACACACAAAATTACACAATTGCGAAGATTATATAAATCGATAAATAATTTAAAAGTGACATAAATGCACCTGTAAGGGAAAAAGCGTCCGTGTGACAAACATATCGATATAAATATCCTATTCGCGCTCGCCGACACGAGGAAGAGGACACATTCGTGAACGTAAAGTGCTGCCTGTCAAATTTTGCCAGACGGTAAACGGGAGAACTTCCACATCCACGGGAAAAATGGAGGCTCGTATACGTTAATATGAGATATACCCGCGGCATTTGAGAAGAAATTTCTCCCTTGTATTTGAATAGAGTCGCGCGTTGTCGCACGAATTCGTTAAATCCGTTCATCATCTTCCGAAATCGGTCGACACGCAAGAGATGAACGTCGAGCTTGACGAGTAAAATGAAGGAGAGACACGCGATCTCTCTGGACACTGTGGTATATCTATCTGGAAAACATTACCATTGTTTCTACGGATTTTTTCTCCTCATACTTGATAATCTTATTACGCTCTGCGTGAATAGATCGGACAAAGCTCTGTAATTTGAGCAAGTGTAACTCTTTAGGATATGATTTGTATCAGTACGTTTCTCCTTTGAATTTTATATATATATATATATGTGTGTGTGTGTGTATCTATAAATATAAGCTCATTAAATTTGATGAATTTCAGAGAATTGAGAATTAGAAACCACTTTAATATTTCCAAAAGCATGCTTTTTATGCGATATGGTGCACAAATTTTGTAGATAATATGTAATTACAAACCTTTCATGTGTTTTATGCAAATTAACAGTGCGAGTCTGTATGCAGATATTGTCAGAAATGTGTAGCGGAATAATGTCATATAAGCCACTAAATAAATTAGGTGTATCACAAGATAGGCTTCAAATTATAATTGTAATCTTTAGACTTTCAAAATATTATACATTTGAAATACACAATTTGTATTTTCAGAAAATGAGATCTCTGCAGACCAAGAATAAGAACAGGAAGAAGAATGAGAAACTTGGTAAAATAAAGTTTTCTACCAAGGATAGTCTAGTTAGTCCTGATTTGTCCAGCTTACGCAAACCAATTGATACAAGTGTATCCGATCTTTACCAAGTTAGTAAACTCCTTGAGAATGGCACTGATGAGGTTAAATCTATCTTATCATATGAATGCAATATTATATATGAGTGCCGTACTTGCCACAGTTTATTTAGGAGTATTGTAAATTTGATATCCCATAAAAGAGAATATTGCAAGAAAAAATTTGATGTTACACTTCATAGGAATATTTTGCACAATTCGGTAAGTAGAGAATACTTTATTTGTTTCTTTATTATTGTTGTTACTTATCACATATATAACAAAAATGTATGTTTTAGCACTCTAGTAAAGAATCAATAATTCAAATGTTTAAAAAGGACCAGACAATAATTAAGGATAATATTAAGAATGATAGAATACTTAGGAGTCAGGTGTCAAAAGAATCACATAAAAAAGATCTGAGTAAGGTAATAGATATACTCAACAAAAGAAAAGAAGAAAATATGAATAATAATCTCTCGAGTGAATTGAAAGACACAAATTTTGACACTCCAATTGACCAGCACATTTATTTGGAATCTATAAACACAAATTGTTCTGCGGTATATCAAACTGTCAAATCATCAAACACAGAAGTTAATACTGCAAATTTAATGAAAGGACAAGTAGGTGTTATATTAAATTTGTTAATCTTTTTATTTACCACTACTGATATTTAAAATTATATTGTACATATGATGTATTATATATTATTTACACATTTTATTTCTATTATGATTGTAACATTACTTCTTTTGGCTTTTAGCTAGCAAAAGTACAAGCCATGATAGATCAGAATACAGTCATATTAGAAAGAGAAACCTGTGAAAATCAAGAAGAAAAGAGTGATAGTCCTATTCAAACGAATATAAGTGATGAGGAGAATGAATTATTAGCAGATAGATTATCTACAAATAACTTGGCTTGCACAATATGTAAATAAACAGTTCTTATTTTTTTATTACAATTATAAAATATTTGGCAAATCTGATCAATCTCTTGGTCTTTATAGGTAATGCAAAATTTTCAACAAAGAAGACATTAACTTTTCATATGAAAACATTGCATACATCTCAGCGCTTATGTTATCCTTGTCCTTTCTGCACAAATATATTTACAAATTCATGGAGCGTTTATCGGCATTTATATAAAGGTAATTATAAAGTATATATAAGGATGTGATGCAGACATATGTAAATGTATAATAATTAGAAAGAAATATTATAATATTTACTGCAAAGGTTTAAAACATTTCTTGATATAGTAGTTTTAAAAGATTGAAATAATTTATCTCTATAATCCTCTATTCAATTATCTATATAAATTATTTTCAAATTATAGTTCATAAAAAAACTAATGAACAAGTGCGTAAATTAAGATCACACATTCAAGAAAAAGCATTTCATAGAGAAACAACTATAATGGAAGATTTAGAGAATGCTCATACAATTAAAACTTCTACTTTGGAAAATGTGATAACAAAGGATAATGATAAAACTCAGGTAACTTATTTACTAATGTTTTTGAATTATTTTTCCTCATAATAGAAATGCACATGTTAATAATTATATTTTAATCATAATAATTCTATCTTTTATAGAAATCAATGAATCATATAGAATCTACTGTAAAGCCTCAAAGTTATAATAGACGTAAAAAAAGATTGAATAGAAAAATAACTCTATCAATTCCTTTGCAAACAATTGCTACATGTGATGAATCTACATGTGATGAAACTACGATCAGACAATCTAATGAAACATTATCAAATTCAACATCTAATAATATATTGTGTAAAGCAGAAGACATCGCTGAAACAATAGATATAAAACATGAAGTAATAGACATAAAACCACACGGTAAGAAAAATATATTAGATATTAATAACACTTAATATATACCAATAATATATACCAATAATAATATTAAATATATATTAGATATTCATTCTGTACATGTGTCATCTACTGAGATTTGTGAGAAAAACAAGATATCCATTTGTGTCGAAAGTGTTTCTAGTCTTAGTAAAGAAGATTGGGATATGCTAGAAAAAGATAATTATCCCACTAAAAGTAATTCTACAGATAGCAATAATGATCTTCATAAAATTACACCATCAATAATGCAAAATGTTGATAATACTGAATTATTGCCTTCTGAGATTGAGAAGCAAAATAATTCTGTATCCAATATAAATTTACAATCATCTGAAGTTGTATGTACAAGTGAAATTAACTTGAACACTGAGAAGATAAAAAATAAAAAAGGAAAAATACCAGATCATCAATCTAATAAGATGTCATTGACAGATTCAAAAGGTGAGATTATTTAATTTGTGATTGCAATAAATTTTCGTTACATATGTATATATATTCAATAATGTAATGAAAAAATGTTTTAGTTAAATAAATAGAAATATATATATAGCAAAACTAATCATTTTAGTATAATTTAATATCAAAAATTATTTTTGTTAAATTTGAATATGTATATATTTTTTCTTGAACTAAATCACATAAATTTGATATTATCATTAGTTTATCAAATGAATCAAATTGTAATAATTTTATTAAATTTTAGAAATAGATGTGATTGAAGTCCAGGAGGATAATTCTAAGTTGCAATCTTCGCAGTCGAATGAAAAGAGACAAACTTCATTAATGGAAAAACTAGCTACCATCGCAAACTTCCAGAAACTGCAGTGCCTTCTGTGTAAACGAAAGTTTACATCTATGCCTAATCTACGTAGACATGTGGCAATTCATATTGGTTGGAACCGATATCGTTGCAAGTTATGTGATTTTAAATCTTTCATCAAATGTGATTGCGTCGCGCATTGTAACAAAATACACAATGCGCAAAACAATCGTGCAGTTATAACAGAATTAGTAATCGAAATACCACAGGATGAATATACATATAATGAAAATATTGTCATGGACGTAACTAATACAGAGGAGAATGATCTCAATATTATGGATATATCTTCATCATCAGAATCGGAAATACATGTTACAGATTTAAACAATTCAAATACATGTAATCAAAATAAAGCTACTCCTACAAATGAACAACAAGAGTCGAGTGAAAATGTTAAACATCAAGATATTGCGAACGAAAATAATGATAAAACTGCAAGAGTACAAAATTTGGCAGAGTATATGATGAATAGTGGATCAGGAGAATTAGATGATCATGATCTTAAACGAATCGTGATGGAGGTGATATTTGGTTCAAGCGATACAAGTGCAACTGCACAAACAGACTCTGATAAGTCTGCAAAAGCTAATAATAATGTCACAAAATGTACAAATGCTAATGAAAATAGTACTGCATCTGAAACTAAAAAAGCTAAGGAAGCATCTTGCTCAGTGTCAGAAGAACCTTCTATGCCTGATGATAATTTGAAACACCAACGTCCTATACGCAAACGAATAAAGCTTCTAAATGATGATTTTGTATATGATTTAAAGAAATATGCATTTCGAAAGGAGTGTATCCTTTTAATAATTCTGAAACATTGCATATGCGAAAGAAAGCCAAATTGTACAATTGAACAATTATAATTATTTAATTATTTGATTGTATTTTATATATATATATATATATATATATATATATAATAATATATATACATATATATATATATTAAAAATATATTTGAAAATAATAACTTTCTAAGGTTACAGATGCTTTCAATAAATTGATTAAAAATATTAATATTTATCTGTTTAGCTAATACACGACTCACAATTCCTTCATTTTCAAGTAATTATCATTTCAGATAAAGAATATCAGAGTAAAATTAAATTTCAAAATGATACGCTTGATTGCGCTTCATATCTTCGCGGGCAAAATTTTGCGTACTATAAATGCTTTATTAATATTATACTCTAGATAATTTATTAAATTAATGACATAATTTGACATTGACATAACTTAACTAATTGTAAGACATATAACTAATTGACAATAAAGTTACTTCAGTTTCAATAAAACATTGAATATATTATAAATAAAAATTATTAATTTTCCCTCGTAAAGAAAATTTCATAAATGTACGAGAATGCGGGATTTCAAATAATTACGCGGGACTTCTCTCTTTCGGCTTTATACATTTTATTTATATAGAAAATCTTCGCTCATCTCTCTTTCATTATTTCGCGAAGCTAGCTCTGTATAATAATATATATATTATATATAATAATAATATAGAATATTTATTATATAATATATAATACATATATATTTCTTATATAATAATAACAATAATGAGATATTCATAATTTTTGAACCGCTCTGTAGATAGAGACAGACGCGGGCGACGTGCCGTGCGCATCAATGCGCGAGACGGCACGCGATTGGTCGACGGCAGGGCGGTACACTTGTCCCGCGCGTTGCGCGGCGACCCTTTCGCGCTGCCGAGCTCCCATACTCCCGCGCGGCCCGCAGTACTCGCAGATGCGCGGCAAACGGCGCCGAGCGAGCACAGTCGGAGCCGGTTCTCTCGTCTCACGCATACGCGATCACACATCCCGGTGATCCTGGCGGTGATCGCGACGCGCGAATGACTTCGTCCGCCACGGAAAACCGGAGCGGTTCAAGTTAGTTCTCTCTCGCTGACAGCCGCATCGTTGTTTTGTCGAACGGATCCTTGGATCGGCTTCTCTCGCGAATTGTGTTTTTGTGCGCGACTCCCCCAGGTCGCCGAGGACCTGTGTTCAGTGCAACGGGTGCGACCTTGTCCTGGAACAGCTGCCGGAGGAGGAAGAGAGAGAGAGAGGAGCATTATTAACAATTGAACGTAAGTTGGCGAGATGAGAGGAACGAGATATGGTGAAAGAGAGGGAGAGAAATGGCGAGATGAGAAGAGGGGGAGGGAAGGACGAGTAAGTTGAAGCTTTCTCACGGTGGAGGCTGCACATTCCCTGGCGTCTCTTTTCGAGGGCTCGAGATATTCGCACATCTTGAATAAACGCGATAATATTCCAATTAATTTCACAGATTTCCTTCATTCTCTCTCTCTCTCTCTCTTTCTCTTTGTCTCTTATTCTGCTGAAGTATGTCGATAAAGCGCTGTGTTCAGGTTCGTTCCTCCTTTTTGACTAATTTCATACTATTGCGAGACAGACGTGCATATCTTTTTTTCTTCTCTATTCAACTTTCGACAATGAATGAATATTTATTCGATATTTGGACTCATTTGTCACTCGGACAGACGACGAGCGAACGAGGGCTTGGAATGTTTTGGTCCGGACGGGTCTATGAGCCGACCGCGAAGGTCGCGAGTCGGCAACACGCGAATATACATATATATATATATATATATACACATGTGTTTCGCGAGAGTCCAAGTTCCTCCCCCCTGAAATTGATACTTCCGCGCAATCACGGCGACTCCTCGAGCAACGGCTGGCACGCAATTAATGCCTCGCACCACTTGTTGCTGTATTACTACCTGTAGACGATGACAGAAATGCACTTGACTTTAGGACTGTATTCAAATATTGCTCGAAGAGCGCCAGGAATTATGTGTATGCGCGTATACGTGTAATGTTCCGATATGGAGATACGCGAATATGATATTATTTAGCGATCAATCGTCATCCGGGATGAGAGAAGCCTCGTGGTATTTTTTCTCATCCTCTCCCTTCCCCTTCTCTCGTTCGCTTTTGTCGTCGTCAGACATGGGCGTCTATAGAATTTTTTCCAGGAGAGGGCAGAATTTATTTGTTTTTTTATCTTTTGTTCTTAATTTTTTTTAATTTTCATTTTTTTTTAATATCAAATATGCAAATAAATTTTTTTCATAATTTTTTATTTTTTGTTCTTAATTAAAAATTTTTCTTATTAAATATGCAAATAAATTTTAGTGTTTATTCAAAAAGAGAGCAGTTAATTCCTAATTTTTTTTTTACTGATCTCAATAAATGCCCTCCTGTCCATGATATAGGAATGTAATACCTAATCAAAGTATAGACAGGAAGATATCTTAACGAGAGAGATAACTAATTAAAATGTCTTATGTCGTGCGATTAAGCAATCATCTCGTTATCCCATTAAAATCGGGTCAAGTCTATCAATCGTGGTTGAGTAATAATAGAGAAGAAAAAGAAAGGGAACAATAAATATAATGCGTTTTAGTTATTTTTAGTATTCACCTGGAAAAAAAAAAAAGTTTTAAAATATCGTATAAAAATTATACAGTAAGGTTTGTCGATCGCTTATAATAAATTAATGAAGCTTCTGTGCTAGAGTCTCGATGATTGACTTCCAAGGTTAATCCTATCACTAAATCACAACATGCAGATGCGGATGACATTTTTTCCCGTATATGAGATACGATGAATTAGTAAGTGACATATGTAACTGCTGTGCAGCTTCGGAATATTCTGAAAAAAATGCATAACAAACACGATGCATATTTTTTTCAGGTGAATATTAAACGCATAAAAATATATAGTAGCATGTGTTACATAAAATTCTCATCATAAATTCCACGTAATGTGGAATTATAAATAATCAGCGTCATTATGCATGAGGAAAAACATTTTGCAGGAAATTAAATTGGCGAAATCGATTTTTATCGAAAAGACTAAAATTAGGAATTTTTTTCGTATTGCGCATCTAACGGCGATACCATGTGGACGAGAGTGGATCTGCCTGCGATTTCCATTGTGTCAAATGAGAATGACCCGCGCACGCGCGTAAATTCTCATCTTGTAAATTGCTGGTTTTTTTCCTTTATGTGAATATCGCGACACGTCCTCAGTTATGTATAAATACGGTCACCATATTTTCTGAGAGAACATGAAGGACAAATCTGAAAATTGTATAGGATTTTGTTTCAACACGTTTCCAAATCAGTTTGTAACCAAAGTGGAAATCGACGAGGCAAAAAAAAAAATAATTCTGTGACTATCAGAATTTTACGTATTTTTATAATTTGAAACTGGTTCGATTATGTTGAAACAAATTCTTGATTTTTAAATAGGTTCTGTTGAAGGTACTACGACATTGTACATTAAAACGCAAAATAAAAAACAAAGGACAAAATTGTAAAGAACACAATTTAAAAAATAAAGGACGCAAAATTGAGTTTTGAAAAAATAAATCTAAAGGACAACTGTTTGAAATATAAAGGACTGACTTAAAATAAAGGACGGGTGGTTACCGTAGTTATAAGTAGAAATGTCATGACCTGGAAGAAATATAATTAAATGATACGGCCAAAGAGAGAGAATGGAGGGAGAAGGAAACAATTGTCACAAAGACATAATATATGCTTAACTTGTATCTGCGTGTGAGTCCCCTTCAACGTAGGTCTTTAAATCATCAGTTTACGTATGACAGATAGATGTAATTATGACTAATATAATTATGACTAATATAACGTCTTATGCTCTAATGAGCATCCGAAGTCCTGTCACGTTCCGCGTGTTTATGTTCGAATAAACAGCATATTTAACATCCCGTTTTAACATCCTCGTATAAATAAGTGTAGCCTATATAGCTTACGCGATAAATGACACAAGAAACGTAAACCGAGAACTGTTAATTAAAACACGCGAAAGAGATATCTAGATAGTCGAAGAAATATATTTACGTCGCGGATATTTATCTCGAAAATCGTGTACATTTTTTCGATATTTTTAGCAACAATTATATACGAGCCGCTATATGTATAAACGTCAAAGTTGCACGCACGGAAGAGGTCAAAATCCGTTATTAGCGCTTATTATTCGGAACGGAAATGGTCTATTCTGGCGCAATTTAAACCGCGTATAGCCGCTCAGATTATTCCTGTCAAAACAGTTTCAATTATTATACACCGTGGCACGCCAGGATGACTCGATAAGTTTTTCGGGGCCGGAGTTTGACACGCATCTGTCGATACGTTCCGACATATATATATATACACTGGACGAATTCGAGAAGTCTACGGTGAGAGTTAATTCAATTATAGTGGTCCCTTCTCTCTTCATCGTCCGGAAATCTATTTTATCACAATCAGTCGCTTATATCGATCGGTTTGCGCTTCAGCTATGTGTTATGTTTCATGCGACATCGCTATGCGCTTCATTTTTCATTCCTTCCGACTATTATTCATACCCTGGAGGTCATTAATGTCATAACATTTATTAAATTCACGTTTTTCTTTAGACACTTTTTACGAGTCGATTATTATTTTCTTAATATTTACTCAGAGTTTTGACATTTGTGTTTAACGCGAGAGATTATATATATAAGATTGAAAAATAAGTAATTCCTTATAGATGATATTAAATTAATTCGTAATAATTTTTCTAGCTTTAAATTCTTTTAACCAACACAAAATTCGAAAATGTGTAGATTAAAAGTATACCTTAATTAGAATTTTATCGAAATGAAAGTATTGTGTGGCAATATGATATTGGAAGAATATTATAAGTTTTTCCGATTATTAATATTTACCATAATAAAAAATATTAATATATATCACAATAAGATATAAAATAAATATACATAGTAAAATTAATCGAACATATTTTATATCTTATTGTCGTAGATATTAATATTTTTTATTTTTATATTAATCAGAAAACTCTTATACAATTCTTCCAATATCATTGTCCCATGATTTTCAAGATAAATTGTAAGAGAAAATTATCTCTGTATACTTAATATTAACTGAAGAGAGAATATATAATTTTATTAGGTATTGTTCGTTCTCCTCTGAAGCATCAGTCTAAAAAAACTTTATTTTCTATTATATGTAATTATTGGAAAGCTACGAGAATTACTCGATTACTCTATCTATTCATTTGTTTAGGCTGTTAAATGTTCTTGCTCGACATAACTAGAGTAACCATCCATCCTTTAATTATTTTAACTATAGCTATCCTTTAGATTTTTCCAAAACTTAATTCTGTTCTTTATTTTTTATTTAGTGTTTTATTGTCAAATGTCGGAGTATTAACATGAGAATTTATATATATACGAAATGGCATCTCTTATCTATTGAAGATAGACTTCTGATAGTCACAGAATTTTTTTTCGCCGATCATGCATAAACTAATTTGGAAACATGTTGAAACAAAGCCCTAAAATTTTCAAATTTGTTCTCTATTTTCCCTTACAGAATATAGTCACCGTAGCTATAAAGGCGACCCTTTTCTCCAATATATTCCATATAAAGACCACCCTAATAGAAGTTCCCAGATCAAATCACTCCCTGTCGCGGGGGTGAAAAGAGAGAGAGAGACGCACGATGCATCGAGGGCAATGGCATCGCGAAAGCTTACCCCCTTGTCGTTATGGTAACGCAAGCCCACCACAAGTCGCTTTTCTTTCAGCATATATTGTTCATTGACCGGCGGTATCCCTTTTCTTCTTCACCTCCCTACTGTTGTACGTCCGATGCTCGATCATTTATCGTCAAGGTGTGTTGCTACAACACTTTCGCACGAAACATTCATTGTCACTGAAAGCTCTATATCAACACCCCACTACTTTATTTATCGTCTTTACATCGCCCACATTGGGGTATTTTCAGCTATTCTCGTCCGCTTACGTGTTGTATTCGTGTTGTATTCCGACGAACAAGTGGACAAAAGAAATAATGTTTGATCACGAAGGTGAGTTGAATAAAATTGCGAGAAGCTTCACCCGATCGTTTACATTTCATAATTGAATATACATAGGTATATATATCGAAAAATATCAGCGAGGTTTTGACAAAACACGAGTTAAAGCAACACGTTATGCTCGGTTTTTATTTCACGAAATTTTTTCTTGGACGGAGAATCGAACTGTATTAAATTA